GGAACTTTGCGATGTTGTCCACCAGTCTAATATCCAGGCTCCCAGGAAGATACTGAATTAGTCTACAGAAAATTTTATTAACGTGATTTTTAACTGAATACTAAATTCAAGAAATCCTTTATAAACTCAAGTGTATTGTTTACCCTCCTTACTAGTTATTAGTCCTTAGTAGAAATGGAGGTCAATTTTAAGTCACCCCGAACCTAATAGTTTTAAATATAGAAACTGATTTAAGTCCTTTTAAAAAAAATTTTTTTTAAAAGATGTTTGAGAGAACATGAGTTGGGGGAGGGTAGAAAGAGAAGCAGACTTCCTGCTGAGCAGGGAGCCTGACAAGGGGCTCAATCCAGGGCCCTGAGGTCATGACCTGAGCCGAAAGCAGATGCTTAAGAGACTGAGCCACCAGGTGCCCCAAGATTTAAGTCTCATTAAAGCATAGTCTACAATGGCAAAAACTCATCCTTATAATATGAATGCTGAAACCTTTATTTTAGACTTTCTGTATTTTGGGTTTTCTCAGCATATACCCTCATCAATAAATCCCTAAAATCAATTAGATTAGAGAACTAGCATTATTGTTAAAGCATGGTGCCTCATTCTTGTCTTGTTGCCATTTTCCTCTTTCCTCTTAATACCCTGATTTTCTTTGGAGAAATGCTACCTATCAGGTCCATACATTTCCATTCCAAGGTTGAGAAGTGCTTACCCTGGTTGATCTATATGTTATATTCCCAACTCCCAGCCCTCCCCCCAAATAACTTGGCTTTAATCAGTAGTATGCAGAGATTCTGGACTGAATTCTCTAGTGCATTTGTCTTAGGTTTAAAGGCATTAGAGAGCATGGGTAAGGAATTCACACAAGTATCCTGATACATGGCAGCGGACACTAGACTTTCTTCCACATCTACATTTGAAGATATGAGAAAGAGAATTTTGCTAAATGTTTAACTTGGAATTTTTAGGTAAGCGCTATTTTTAGGATTCAAAGTAAGACTTAATTATTCTACTTAAAAACTCAAGACTCAAACAGAAGGCTATTCCCAGCCCTATCAAAGTAAGATGTAAGATGTTTAATATCCAACAGTGAGTTTTAAAGGTTTATTTGAGAAAGAGGGAGCACGCGTGAGTAGGGAGAGGGGCACGGGGGAGAGAAAGAATTCTCAAGCAGAATCCCCACTAAGCACAGTCCCAGGACCCTGAGATCATGACTTGAGCTGAAATCAAGAGCCAAGAGCCAGTTGCCCAACCTACTGAGCCACCCAGGTGCCATATCCAATAGTGAGTTTTAAAAAAGTCCTAATTTCTGAGAATCAAAACTTTCTAAAGTTTATAGGTAAAATTAACATAAGTAAACTTTCTAAGTGACCTGTAAAGTCCCTACTCTGTCTTCCCCTCCTCTTCCAACAGCTTTTAGACAAGGAGAATTTTTTTATGACATCTTTGGTTTTCCTACTTTGAGGGGGATGGGAATCAGCAACTAAAGTTATCACCCCCTTCCTTCCTGTTTGTAAAATTATTTTTTGCTTATAAGGCTCGTGAAATACATGTTAGAATTTTTAAGAAAGTCTTCTTATTTACAGACTAGTAGCTCATCCCTATATGCATCACTTCTTTAGAGGAACACACAAAGGCAGTAACGAAGAGAGACTCAAACTAGTTAAGATTCTAGTGAATGACACAGTGTAATTTTTCCATTAAAATTCCTTGTGGTAAAACATTCACAGTTAAAATCCATCAAAGCTAATTTTTATTAAAAATCAAAGCACCAGTTGCCCCCCCCCCCCAAATAAAAAACCAAAGACCAAACAACAAAGACTACTGCCTATGAGGTCCTTCACAATAAGCGAATCTTTGTGGGGAAAGTAACCGGTGGTCTGATTGGCCAGCATTATTCTCACTAAGGAACATGAGATACCACTTTGTGAACTATGACTTAACTAAATTCACACCCAAGAGGAAAGGGTAATATATGTAAAAAGATATCAACTATTAATTTACATGAGGTTACAAAATACTTTTAAAAATATGTACATTTTACTTAAAAGGAGGGCTTCCATAAGAAATTAGATGGTCCAATTCATAGTCATGTCCATAATAACCAATCAGATCACTCAATTTCTCTCATTCATAACAGAAAATAAGCACATCTTTTATTTACACCTACAAACCTTTTGCTCACATGTATCAACTTTAGGGATTCACAATTTATGGATCAGGCCTCAGCAAAAGGAAGGGTTCCTCCTTTCATTTTCTAACTAGTCTGTCTATGGAACCTAAATTTGAAAGTTTAAGCACCGTAACAACATAGAAATTTGAAATGCAAATTCATAAATGGAGCAATCAACTGTATACTCACCCTTCTGATTGTGGAGTGAATCTTTTTGAAGTATTCCTAAGTTATATTGCATTTATCCTATGGCGTAGGAGTAAAATGTGGAGCCTGTTCTTTAGCTTGGAAAAGCAAGTAAAACTACCAAGAGGGAATTTTCCTTTTAGCACATCCAACTTCTCACCCCTCCACTCAGAGAAGATAAGCAAGGCCTATTAATTGAAAGGACAAAATAACTGCATTGCCAGATGCTCATGTCCAAATGTATTCTGAATACATTATTTCCTTATGCCAAAAATATCAGATGCTTGATACATGGAAAAGTTTTGATGAGCCAGAATTAGGTAAATCCTAGCTCCCACATGGTCTGTTCAAGTCACAAGCCCTGGCCAAAGGTGTCATCATGTTATCACATCTAGCACTACAGGGTCTTACATCTGTGACACTGGGCTGTGGTTCCAAATCTAGTGGTTTCCTTCCTCCAGAAGGAAATCTGGAGTTTTTGATCAGAGGTAAACACTGGAGTGTTTTAAGTATAGGTCAAGGTTGTTTGAATCACACTGAACTATGGGTGAGGCTCACCTCATAAGAACTACTAAACTGCGATCCACCCAAACACACAGGTGCTTGTTAATAAGGTCAAAGGACATGAAAGACCATTATGAAAAGGTTGTTTGGAGAGAGAAATACTAGTTTTAATGTAATTTATATTATGTGTGATTATAGGAAAGATGGTTCTTAACACTACCTTTCAATCAGCAAAAAAAAAAAAAAAAAAAAAACCAAAAAAAAAACCAGTAAAGGTGAAATACTGTTTTTAAAAGATTATTATGACTAGATGTAACAATGAAAGTTTTGGGCACAATAGAAGAAATTCTGGCTCAGATGCATTTAAGAAATTATATATACATATTTTTCTCCCTTAAGTGCTATTTTCCTTTGTGACCCTCCTCAAAATTTATCTGTGTTGCTGTTTTAACTTGGGAAACAAGTATGGAAGAACAAATGGTCAGAAGAAGAGAATTCTGAGATATCAACAATAAACTTACTAGCAAAACCTCCACAGCTGGTGTGCTAAGAATGCTAGAGAGAAAAAAAAATTAAATGGTATATGCACTGGTATTAAAATTTGTTCAGACTTTGAAGAATAAATGTCTAACGCATATTCACAATACAACAGTATTTGGAAAAGTGATTAAGACTTCTTAACCATTAATAAGTAATTGACATATTATTGACAAGACCTAAGTCTACGACAAGAAGCTATTGTTCCTCAGTTTTCTATTTTATCTTTAACAACATATGAAAACACAATGAATTAGCCCCAGGATATTTTCAAATTGTCCATTTTAAGAAGGAATGCCTTGTGGAAAAAAGCAAGTCCTCTAGGTGTAATTCATGGGAGTTGAAACCATCCAAAGATTAAGGTTCTTTCACCTCAGCCTTATTTTTATTCTATCAGCCTAAAGAGAAAAATTCCCTCAGTCAATTAATGTTTTATAAAGGTTACTTTGAAAAACTTCATGTGTAAATATTTTGTCAAATGTTAGACTGGCACAATTTTTTTTCTTCTAAATTTAGTTTCCTTCTTTGACACTGAACAAGCAAAAGGAATAAATGAATGTCAGTTTAACTAGCGAGGTCTGGCTCATTAACACTGTGCTTACTCTCAGAAGATTGGTCTTTTGTACCTCTATCGGGAGAATGAAAATGAAATTCAAAATCAAGATAAGATAAAAGATTCAATTTCAGGTACTGACTTTTAAAAAGTAGGAAACAGAAGCTTCAGGAAAAATTAAAAATTTTCATTGTAATTCCCTCCAACTGCCTGCTCCCAAATTCCACAACAGATTTTTATTCCAAATTATAAAGAAAGATGAAAACCACAAAACTAGTCCCTTTCAGGGGAACTTATATTTAATGCCCAATAGGGTATATGTTGAAGAATCCTCACATCAAACATGGCGCACACTGCTGTAATTTTATGTTCTCGGTAGTTCCACTAACAGCCATACTGCAAACAATGAGTCTTGTTATAAAAGGATCACCTGCACAGTTAAAAAGCAAACAACAAACCACACAGACACACACGGCAAACCGAACGTGTACACTTACTTCTTCAGTGGAAGAAGTTATATCTAGAAATGTACGAAAAATGGCTTTGCACACCTGCTCTACCAAACACCTCTACAGACAAGGGAAAAACAAAACAAAAATCAAACATTTGTTTTCCTGCTTTTTCTTTAATACAGTTGCCATCTTACATGATATACTGTTAGGTGCCTTCTTAATAGCATCTAATCTACTTTTTTGTTGTACCAGTCAGCATTCTAGGATAGAACTCTTATTACCACTCATGTTCACGGAGTACTGTTCTTAAGTACCATACACCTAAACTCATGGTTGGGCCATAATTAATGGGTAGTGGTATTTTCTAAAAATGGATTAATGCACACATCCAAACCACATTAAATTTTCAACTTAAGAGTTCATACGTACTCTATTTCCTTTCTATAGTTGCTATCACTTCAAACTGTAGTTCTGAAATCCAAGAAGTAGGAAGAATGTTTTTGTTGTTGATACTTCTTTCTCCCTTCCTTCCTCCCTCCCTTCTCCGACTCCCTTTTACTCCTTTCCTTACTTCCCTTCTTTTTCTTTCTTAATAAGAAGATGAAAAGAAATGGTTTATTAAGGAAATCAAAATCTAGTAAACATCAAAAACTTACAGATCAGAGTGGTCACAAACTCTTTTTGTAATGATGTTAAAATTACCGACAAAATGTTTTTTAAAAACAAAAACAAAAAATCTAAAAACCAGCACACACCAATGGTGTTGCTTATTTAAGCAACTGGCGTTCCTCTATGCTTTTGAGGCGTTTCTTCCGGGGCTGTACAAAGTCATCATCTGAGTCATCACTAAATTTATTATCTTCGGATTCATTCCTGAATTCTAGTTTAGGAAACCTTTTTTCTGGATAAAGGTTCTTTAGAAGTTCTTCAAAATAGCTTTCAAGTTTTATACCAGCATTGGCTACTTCTGAATCAGGCTGTTGGATAAAAATAAAAACATGAATTAAAAACAAACACCAATATTTTACACAGTCAACAGTCAATAAAAAAGTATATTTCTCACATTTTCTCTCTTAACTCAAGTTTGGGAAAATGTTTATGTATCATCACTGATATAAAGTAAGTAACAGTCTGGGGCTAGATAAAGTCTAGAGAAGGTCAAATAAGTAAATAAAAGGCTTGGAATCATCTGAATTATTTTATAAGGTAGTGACAGCTATATGACTGTATTACTAAACTGAGATTATCAAAGAGATGCCATAGTCACAGAATCACAGAACGGGTGTTTTTTAAAGCAAATTAAATGAAATGTGGATCTCTGGAACAAATAACCAATACAGAGAACAAACCATCAACAAAAGTCTGTAAGTCTGACAGATGTTCAGATAAACTGACAGATGAAAAACTGAGAAAACTTAAATAGCAGAGCTATTTAGACCACAACCTTAATATTTCAAGATCAACATCAAGACCTTAGTCTGGAAGTGCCACATTTTAAGAAATAAAGGTGGGAATGACAAAGGATGCTTCTAGATAAAAATATTTTCTAAATTGTTTTCAAGTTGTCAGCTATAATTTGCATTTCCACGTACCATATAATAAACCTTTGAATAGGAATAATAGGAATGTGGACACAGTCTTCCTAATTACCTTTCACTCTCTAACAAACTTGAACTTCTAGAAATTTATGCTATTATAGATCTTCATCTCTTTTGCTGAGAAAGTGTTTGGTTTAATATTACCTCCCCATTGCTGTGGTTTTTTTCTTTCTTTCTTTCTTCTTTTTTTTGCTTTTTCCTCTTACCTCATTGAATTCGGCACAGTTTTGAAAGATCAATCTAAAATCAGCTACAAAATCTTCAGGCTTTGTGTACATGGAATAATCTTCTTGTAGTCTCTTCTTGATAGTTGACAAGTCCATTGGATTTTTTATTATTCTGTAATAATCAGGCACCTTTCAAAATAAATGAGATGGTATAATAAAAAGACTAAATTCTACCAGTCCTAAATACATTTTGCAAGCAGGAAAATAAAATTCAGATTGTTCTCATTGCTTTTCCGTGTACTATTTTGTCACTGATAAAGAAACCAATATAGCAAACCTATGGTACAGCCCCCCCCCAACACACAGACACCCCTTCCTCTACTGTTATAAATTTACTTAGTACTTGAAGTCTGGACCTATGTAAATCAAAATATGTACAAAGAATTTATCTCAAATTGTAAGTTTTTCCCCAATAGCTTAGGCTATATGCCCAAGCATCTTGAAAGAGATTAACAGAAATCATTGTAGAGAGTAGTGGGTAAAATACACAAGAATTTAGGAGAAATGAATACAAGCATGGGGCCAATTTGTGAACATCAAAGTGTATTCAAGATCAAAGTATTCCATTTGTGTTAATAAAGCTTTAAGATTTGGATTAGATATAGGAAACTAACTACTAAAGAATGGTAGAAAAACCACATTCTCATAAATCAAGTTTAGAAAAATCATCTTACTGCGGGGTGCTTGGGTGGCTGAGTGTCCAACTCTTGATTTCGACTCAGGTAATGATCTCAGGGTCATGAAACTGAGCCCTGCACTAGACATGAAGTCTGCTTAGGATTCTCTCTCCCTACACTACCCCCTTGCTCCCACTAGTGCGCACTCTAAAAAGCAACAACAAAAACCATCCTGCTATGTAAAAATGCACAAAATGATGTTAATACTTACAGTCAGAGGAACTGGATCTTGAAAAGCCAGGCTCATTTCATGGCAGTAAAGAAATAAAAGTAGGCGTTCACACTTCTGAGCAAAAAAATAAAAATATAGTAAAATAATGAAGTCACAGCTTATTTTTAATATCAATGCCATGGGTCTCAAAATACAATAAAAATTAAAAGATGAATACCAGAAAAATATCAATACTTAGAGTTCCGATCTCTTCAGTCATTTACTGAATTCTACAGTTTAACAGTTTGGGCTGTGTGTGATATAGGAGAGCAGTTCTTACACGAACAAAAAGCAGTATCATATGAAACCTATCTAAAGCTCTCTAAAAACAAATTTCCACTTATCTCTCTAATTTATATACTGACTATTAATAGTCAATAAAGAAGGCTATATGTATGTTAAGAGATCCACAGAAGGACCCTTTTCTATAGTGTGTCCAGTCCTAAGGCTGCCTCTGAATGCACATGGTGCTATCCATGCACTTGGCTACTTCTCTGCTGAGGGTTTAATCCCAGTAACTATTGTGTAGCACTGGCAGTGTGTGTTTGGGCCCCCTCTTGCACAGTAACTTTCATACTGATTGTTTTACTCAATAGTTTAGCAAAGACCTTCTTTAACTACTAAAGAAGTGTTGATGTAGTAGCTTTAAATGCCAATTACACTTAACTATATTAGTTGGCTTTGAGGTATAACCCAGTTCCATCTGGTAAAAGAATGGAACTGTTTCCAGGAAGAGTAAATAGAAAAGCCCTTCTCTTTCCTGCTGATTCTCAACAAATTAGGAAGAAAATTTATTTACAGGAGAAATAAAACAAATTTACTAAAGGTAAACTAAAATTGTCGACCACATAGAGGATACATGTTTTACCTTGCTCCAGTACAGTCTTTTAAGCTTCTAGAAAATGTATAGGCAGTACTGTGATTATTTTTAACCAGAAAAAGTTGTAAGTTATATTATTCAAGATTCCTATACTCTTACAGAAAAACTAAAGAAAAAGAGGCCAGTATAAAATTTGATTGATATATACTTCTTTAATGAAAGGCACACTGGCATTACAATAATCCCCATCTAACAAAAAAAAAAAAAACTGTTTAACTAACAATGTATGTTAGAAATGTTAAAAAAAAAAACTTACCCTTTTATCTATTGGTGTTAATTTAACAAGGCTTTCAGTCTTCTTTTTTTCTGAGTTGTGACTGGGAGCATCACAATCATATTCAACCTCTGGTTTAGATAAGTCTCTGCAGAAAGTGCAAATCCATTCTCCACTGTTGGGGGATAAAGTACTTCTGAATTCCTACTGCGTCATTTCTCTCTTCACCATCTCCCTTTCCCACCTCCTCCCCACCATCTATGGTACAGATTTGCTGGTTTGGCATGAACTGTAATCACTGAGGGTTTACTGCATGCATAACCACTATGTACATAGCACCATGCTGGGAGAGCCTTACGGCAGGAATACAGTGCGAGGGTCAAAGCCGTAAATATTCGTCTAGTCAAAGAGGCATGAAACACATATGCGAAATAAACACATAAAACAAACACACACACACATTAATTTATGGCTGATGTGAGGCAAAACTGGAATCTTCCCTAAAATGATTCAAGAAAAAGAAATGTTCTTGGTACTATTCTTGCAACTTTAAGCGTAAAATTAAAATTTAAAAAGTATAGCTTTTGAAGAACTAAAGAGATCAAAAGAGATCAACCCAGTGGCTGCTGTTCGCCGTCATCGTTGTCGTCGTCGTCGTCATGATCAGCAGCAGCAGTAGCATCGCACAGGGCTGGTTTGAAAATGTACTTGGTATATTTGCAAATGATACAGCTCAATGCTTGGCAGATCCGATGGAGTATTTTGGCAATTATTATGCACAAGGATCACTGTTCTTTAGGGTAATAATCTAATAATTTGAAGGACTGGCTATTTTTTTTTTTTCTTTCTTAACAGTCTAGGTTTTTCTTTTCTTTTTAGAAAATTTTTAAGGTTTTATTTATTCATTTAACAGAGAGGGAGAGTACAAACAGGGAGAGCAACAGGCAGAGTGGGAGGGAGAAGCAAGCTCTCTGCTGAGCCCGGAGCCCGATGTGGGACTTGATCCCAGGACCCTGGGATCACGACTTGAGGCGAAGGCAGACGCTTAACTAACTGAGCCACCCAGGCATCCCAACAGTCTAGGTTTTTGAGAGATGCACAGGGAATGGGAAGCAGAGTATTGAAAACTCTATGTTGAAGGTTTTGGAGTATGCATTTTGCGTGAAGTGGACTTTTATTTACATTTCTAAGGTTTTATGTTACAATGATCAGTGATTGTTATTTACAGTGAAAGAATGTGGGAAAGGGAAGCAAATACCATCCATCTTACCTTGGAAAATTTGCCAAAGTGGGCACATGACAAGAAAGATGAAATACTTTGGGACACTTCTCACAGCACAGGAGTTCCCCTCCATTCTGACAAACTGCACACCAGTCCTCGTTGGGGTCATCCTCTTTCCTGGTCTCTCCAACATGAAGGGGTGACTTCTGGGAGGCATCTAGCCAGTCAGACTTTCCATTCGAGGAACCTTCCTGGTGAAGTCCAGGTTGATCTCCTGTGCTATCAGGGGCATCTGACCTTAGCACAGACTCCTCAGAGGTAGAGCTCTGACTGCTATTTAAGAGCAGGGAGGTGAGTATGCTTCTTGGGTAGTTGGCCTGCAATGGAAAGAAGAATATGTCTTATTTCTCAAAACTGACATTCTTTATTTGTACTATTACAATTTCAGACTGTAGAATCCTTTCTCATAGGCACCCGGGTACTTCAAAAGAAGTAATGAAGAAGTGAAAATGTAAGAGACAGGTTTACTGCTGTTATAGGAGTCCCAGGGATAAAGACATGAACCTCTACTAAAAACTATCATCAAAATACACAATCAGCAGAAAGGGAGTGTGGATAATATAAGAAATCTCTTTTTATTTGCTGACAGCTACAGAAATGGGAGAATAGGTGGGTAGTGGAGAGTCAACCATATGAATTGTAAATACACTGAGCTATTAGTTCAAATTATACTCAGACAGAAACTATGCCTACTGTTGAATTTTTATCATTCACAGAAAAGTACAGTGCTTTAAATCCTAGAATTTCACTTCTGCAGAAGCCATTAATAACTCTAAGATGAATCTAAATTTGGGACACCTGGGTGGCTCAGTCAGTTAGGCATCTGCCTTCAGCTCAGGTCATGCTCAGTTTTAAATGTATGTATATATATATATATATTCCTTAATATCGAAGATTAGATTTTTCTAATCTTTCCTGCCTCTCTATCCCCTCCCTACACACACATGCCATTCATGCCACCCTCTTAAGCTTTATTAAGGACCAATTTATTTATTTTTTTATTGTTTTTAAGTTGTTAGGTACCGGTATAACTTTATGGCCAACATCTATTCCAAGTCAGTATTATTGTTGCACTGGTTAAGTATCCTGAAAAATTCAATTTTTGGTTAAATGTGTATTCAGGTTATATCCTGATTAGATCTAGTTTTAGCCAAATTTGTGTAATACAGGTGTCTGTTTATATAACTAGGACTATAAATATTGTTCATTACATAACTACACAATGTACTATGACTACACTTCCTCTTTTGTCTTTTTGTTTTTACTATGGTTCAATTGTTCCTGCTTCCCTTCCTTCCTTTCATTTGCTTACTTTTCTAGTCCCTAACTCTAAGCCATTTTCACAGACTCCCGTAGGGCGATAAAATGCCTTTCAATACTGCCAAACATTCTGCCTTTACATACACCCCTGTGAAGTCTTCTGTCCTCTGCTACATGGTGTACTAGAGAAGCTGTTGTACTGGGAGCTACTCTTTTCTGTGTTAGATCCCATTTCTGGGATCTTATACCTTCTTTCTTGGTTCACTCCATGTTTGATGAAGCATATTCTCAAGTATTTGAGAATGAATGCATGAGAATTAAAATTTCTGAGACCCTACATACATGTCTAAAAAATGCTTATTTAATCTCTATGTATGATTGATACAGAATTCTGGCTATGAAATATTTTCCCCTCACAATTTGGATATTTCCTTACTATCTTTCAGATTCAAGTGTCCATTTTGAGGACTTGGTGCCATTATGATGTCTGATCCTTTGTATAAGGTGTTTTTTTCCATGTGGAGGCTTTTAGAGATCCCAGTATTCTGAAACTTATGGTAGTAACTAGTGTCCTTTTTTCATTTAATGTTCTGGTACTTGATGGGCCCTTTCAACTCAGATGATCATGCTTTTCAGTTATAGTAAGCTTCCTTGTATTATTTTTTGGGCAGTTATCTTCCATGTGTTTTACTCAAATGCCCAACCTCCTTGTTTGAGCCTCTGATTTTTCAAACTCTTCTGTTTTCTATCCATCTTTTTAATTTACTGAGAGACTTCCTTAAATTTTCCAACCCTGGTTGACTATTTCCTGGTTTTCAAATATAACAACTTATAATCTCCTATCTGCTATTTAAAAGTTTCTTTCATCCTATCCCCCAAATAGGCATAGTATTCCCCAAATTAATATAATTACATTTTGAGGCCTAGATTCTTCATCTGATTCTTGTTTCACTATAACAACAGGAAAATCATAATTTTCAGGAGGTCCACTATTTTCCTGTTTTATTCGGATTGGCTCCAACATGACCACTGGGACTCTGTGTGTAGAATCCGCTCCTGCTGGCTTGCTGGAAGAGCCAGAACTGTAAGAAAGAAAGGGAGAAAAAAAAAATCAAAGAATGCCACCTTAAACATTTCAAGACAAAGTGTAACAACAGCTTTCAGGAATAATGCTATATCTTCACAGCAATGGTTACTATGTTCCATTATCAATAAATGATACATAACTGAAATGCAACTGCTTCATGTATAAAAAGTTTTACATATTAGCCTATCTAAATAGTTACATTATACTTCTGGAAAGACATTTAAATACATTTAAATAAAATCTGAATTAAAAGAAAATTGGCTTCAATATTTTGAAACTCTACAAGTGAAGCTCAGTATCTTAGAGCTAGTATCTTCTTTTTAGGCATTCCCATGTCCCATTTCCTTCTCTATTCAGTGACAGAGAGACCCTGGACTCCCATTAACGATTTACTGTCACGAAGTGTGAAGACAATTAACTAGAGACATAAATTATTGGTGTTCTGCTATTTAAAAGTGTAGTGGGACAAAAACCTTTTACAGATAGCCACTGTGTTCTAGGGGATTAAAAGCAACCTTTTTCTCTTCAGAGAATGCTTCTTCCATATGATTAGGCAAGTTAAGAACTGGGTTCATTATCTAGGAGAAATTTGCAATTATAAGAAGTAGAGGAGCAAAGCAGTAAGCTGAGATAGAATTTCAACTATTATGAGTTTATTTATTTTAAGGCAGAATTAATGTTTGGCCTTAAAAAAAGTCAGAACACCGAAGTTAGTATAAAGTTATTGTTTCTTTTCCCCCTCAGCCTGTATTTTTATACATTCCTATATAGTACAGCATGTGATACCTACTTCATTTAAATTTTCTTTGCTATTAGGCTAAAGTCAAATGTATTTTCTTATTTTCAACATATTAACCCCCATCCCAATTTCTGTACCTTTAAAGACAAAACTGCACTTTATTTACTTGATCCACTAGTTTATCAAATTAATATATAATAATTATTAACATTTTAATTTAAAAGTTAAAAGTAAAGGAAGCTGTTCAAAAAAAGAGCATGTTGGAGCAACTGTCAAGAGAAATTTAACTGGAGATTTATATATGAGAGAATAAGGTTGAGTCAGTTTACCTTCCTCGGCTCCCAACACTGGAGGCACTAGGTGAACGTATCGGTGGGTGTACACTAGTCATGGTAACAGGTCCTGAAGAAGAGGAAATCATTCACATTCATAAAATGAGTTAATAATTATGTATTAAATTCCTATTGAATGTGCTCACTTAATACTACACTGAAACCGGAACACAACTAAATAATAAAAAAACAGTAAGCAGTTGTTGGGACTCCCAGCAAAGTCTAACTCCCTTAGACTCGCAGGGGTCTCAACCTATTGTTGGCATTTTAGGCCAGATAATTCTTCGTTTGGGGGTTCTGTGCACTGTAGGATGTTTAGCAGTATCCCTCCGTATTTCCCACCCAGGATGGGACAATGAAAAATGTTTCCAAACACTGTCAAATGTCCCAAGTAAGAATAACTATGGTAAAATGTCAGTGAGGACACCAGCATCAGTGAAAGCTACAGAAGACAATAAAAAGTGGTAGGTGCTGATATGAAAGCAGTCCAAGAAAGCCACACAGAGACCAATTAATGGAGATACTGAAACAAATATTCTACCAGGCAATGCACTTAAGGTACTTTGTCCAATGCCTAGCACAGAGTCAGCAATGGATAAACGTTAGCTTTAACAATATTGTAAAAATGGCTTACAGAAATGTTTTATCAACTTACACTTCCGCCCGCTATGTATCGGAGTATTCTCTTCTCACATTCTTATCAATGAGTATTTTCACTATTTAAAGTCTTTGCTACTTCAATAGTTAGAAATTATGTCTTGTTTTGATATTTTTAATGACCACTAGTGAGACTTAATCCCCCAAGTTACTGGCTATTTGTATTTCCTCTTCAGGGAATTATCTACTCATGTCCTTTGGCAATCCTGAGTATTTGCCTTATTTATTTGTACAAACTTGTTTTATAATTAAACATTTTCTCTGCCATATTTTGTCAACAGCATTCCTCCAGTTTATGTTTTAAATAAGCATCTCCTTTTAAATTGTGTAACTGCCTTATTTCTGTTGCGTGACTGGTGAATGACTTGAGAAATTCTCCTCCTTCCTTATTTTGTTCTAGGGTACCTATTTTGCCAAGGTCTCTAGGAGTAGGTATAGAGTGCTTTAAAGGAAATGAGCAGGTATGTTAAAATTTTTTAAACATTAATTAAATACCAAACAAAACCACCAAGAAGTGAATGACACTGCTAAATTTTGACCCTAGGCAACTTACACCCCAAAAGAGACCACAACATAGGCAAACTTATCAAAAAGAGAATGTATAATACTAATTTCCTCTTGGGAATACTCTAATGCCTGTAAGTTTTAATTGAAATTGAAAAGGTATAGAGGTTTAACCTTTGCTTCCCACTTTGAAAGTATACTAATTTTAAATAGTGCCAAAAACTCAGACTCATTTTAATCATCCAACAAAAAGGGGTGTAGGGGTCATTGCAAGTAGAGTAAAAAATGGGACACGCTCACAAAATCAAAAGAAGCCCACTTTACCTGCAAGGCCTGGAGATGGCACTGATGAATTTGGTGACTGGACGGTTCTGTTTGAGGGTGGTCTTGGCTGGCCATGATCTATACTAGTATCTTTCCTCACAATATTGTCCAGCATAATAGTACTTGAACAGTCAATCTTATAAGAAAAGAAATTTATTTCACGGCATCCTGACTTTGCAAGTTAAAAGCTACTTTAAATTTAATAGAAAACTTTAATAGTATAATTACTATCAAATAATAAAATATATAAATATCCTATTTGAGAAGTTCTGATGCATATTTTTCCCATAAACAATCTGGAAAAAGCTTTCATTCTTCTTAACGTTCCACCTTAGTAAATACACTGAGGACATACTAGTTCAGAAGTTATCAGCAAAGATAAGAGTATCATGTGTCATTCAAACCCATCAAAATTGAAACAAAAAAATGCTTCCTAACTTATTTAAAAATAACAAATGGTAGTCGATTAAAAAAAAGGTGATGAGAAAAATAGCACAGTTTTACATGTTAGCAAACATCTTTAGTTTGGCTTACTAACAGCCAACTAGATTCTTATATCTGCTTCTGCACACAATCTGTTGTGGTGTGTGGTTTTGGTTGAAAAATATGAAGAAAATATGGCCTTACAAAGGAAGGATTTTGTGGAGTCCCTGACCCCCACTGTCTTTGGCTCACATTGAGAACTGGTGCTCTGGTATGACGACATAGATCAAGTAGGCCCACACGTCACACATTTCTAGAACACTAACTCATTTAAGTATATTACTACTATTTGGTAGGAAGAATGGATTCTCTCTAGATTCTTGCTTTAATATAACAGGTATAAAAGAAACACTTCTTTCTTAATTGACTTCTTGGTTAAAATACTGATAAATTTCTACTGAATAAGACTTTAATTCTCTAGATGCAAATACTTATCATACTTAAATAGACCATTTATTTCCCCAAAATGTCTTTGTGATTAAAGTTCAAGTTCAGTTCTCTAACATAGTTCCAGCCCTTTTCAATCAGGATTCTACAAGGGGATTAAGTCTTACGGTCCTAGGGCACAGATCGTGTGTGATGAATTTACTTTTCAACTTTCCATCTAGAATGGTGCTAGTTATGAACCATCTCTGAGAGGACTGAGAAAATAGTCACTCAAATCAGCTTCTTTATTCTATGGTTCAGATAAAGAATTTCAGTCGAGCAAGCCTGGAAGACAAAGTGTCACCTGTACCTGAGGACTGCAGAGAAAAGAACAGAAGGACAATTCTATTTTCTGTGGGTCCTCTTTAGGGTAGGTGGTAAGCACACCTTTATGTTAAATTATGTTCAATATTTCTTGGGCAATACCTTGGCCAATACTTTTCAGAGTGTAAAACATACTGGAATGTGACTGGATCTATTGGATCTTAATGTAAGAAAAGTTATTTACATTGCAAGGTAATCCTAAAAGCTAAAATAAAATTATAGGAATGAGACAAAAGAAGCTTTCCTATGTACCACATAGGAAGTATGAAAATATGAAAAATACATGTACTTCACCCATTTAAAGTATACACCATCATTTTAAAAATTAAGAAACTGGTAAGATTAACACTGAAGTATTAGTTGATCTCAATAACTTGAAAAACCAACTAAATGAAAATTAAAAAATTATTTTACAATCTGACAAGATATTTCTTTTAAGTTTTTAATGTTTCTGTCACAATTTTCTAACCTTACAGGGTTAAGATAAGGTAAAATAAGTATCAACTTATACTTGGAGATCTGTCTATAGAATGTTGCATTTTCTGCCTTTGGAGATTTTTTAAAAAGTCATATTGACAAAAATAGCAAGTACATGTATTTAATTTAAATATAAAATAAATCAGAGGTAATTCTGCACTGGCCAGTATGATCTGGGAGGAAATGTTTTCATTTCCATTGTTAAACTTGTCTCCACCTCTTCTGATGTCTTCAATTCTAGTCTCCCCTGCCAACCTTACTCTAAAGAGCACATTCCAGCAATTCAACTTGCCAGTACCTCTTCCCAGATCCTTACTTCCCTGCTTTCTCTAGTCCATCACTATAATCATTCTTTCACAGACACCTTTAACTGCAGTGCCATGAAATATATTCCATAGTATGTTTAAATGGTTAGCATCTTTTTATTTTTCCTGCTGTTATATTCCTAAAGAATAAAAATAACTTCTAAAACCAAACACACAACCTATAATCTGACTAACTCAAGGCTTTTTACCAGATCTAAGTTCACTTAAAAATTCTCAAAAAATTCTTAGTATAAATTTTGTGTATACTTACATCTGGAAGAGAAGGAAGATTATAAGAACCTCCCACTGGTGAGCTCAAATCAATCATAGGTGAACCGAAAGCCTTTGCATCATATCCTGCTGCACTAGTAATGGTAGGACTAGAAGGAGTAGAGGATGTGCTGTTGGCAGTAGATGCGGCAGCCTGCCCACTGCTGATCTGCCACTACAGTAGCAAGAGAGGAGAAAGGTGGTCTATCAGCAGGCCAAAACATAAAATGTCCAACTAATCCCTGTTCCTCTGTTACAAAACAAAGTAGAAGATACATTCTGCTATTTGAATTCAACTATAATTTGAATTGAAAGGTGGGGGGAAGGGAAGGAGATGGACAGATATACATAATTTTCATTAATCCTGTCCCAAAACAAAAATATAAAAAGCACTGATTTTTTTAACCAGAAACCATAATAGCCCATCTTGGAAAGCTTATATATATTGGAAAAGAAATACATACATAGACAGGAACTTTGAGGTCAAGATGGAGGGCTAAACATACATTTACTTCTGTCCCTACCTGAGACATCTGAAACTAAAGTAACGGTTATGGGGAATTTTTTAAAAAGGCTTTTGACTCAAAGAACATAGGAAAGAAGACAGAAATTCCATTTTGGAAGCTGTAAAGAAGATGGACGAACAAGCAAATCACTTAGTCAATTTGCTAAAGCTGAAACCTAAGCTGGCAGCGTGGAAAACAGAGCAGCAAGTCAGTATGTACTGCAGAACCCTCACGGGCTTGGGAATTAGAAGCACGAAAGGTGAATCTGGGGCTGAAAACAGGACAATCTGCTGAGAGTCTGTGTAAGAAACACCAAAGCCCATGTTCCTTTCCTTCTTTACCTGCAGTTACCCCAAGATAATGTGGACTTCCTCCATCTCCACAGATGAAGGCTGGAAATCTATTGTCTAAAACAGGTAAAACAGTGTCATTTGACTGAAAGGCACCAGGTTCAGCAGAAGGCAGAAAAGTACTGCGCTGAAAACGAAGATTAAGAACCCATACCGACACTGAATGCTGAGCTTCCCTCACACTCTGCCACTGGCCCCTACCATTCTTCTTACCCGTGTGGCTTCAAGGAGCAGCCAGGCCCTGCATTTTAGGTGGAGGACAGGAAGATCCTCTGGGAACTGGGCCAGCCTAAGACTTAAAAATGGCAACACTCGGAATTCTCCCAATAAATCTGCCTCATAGCCTTAAATCTAGCATGAAATCTCAATCATCAAACGTTAGCTCTAGACCAAGGCTTTTAGGATTTTTTTTTTAACCCACTTCTTAAATATGAACAGATAATCAAACCTCAACAAACACTGGAGGAAACTCTTTGTTATTTATGTTAAATCTCAGTTAAAGCTGAGACAAATACATTAATTCAAAGAATACTAGGAATGAAGTATAGAGATGAACCATGATGCTCTCTACAAAGTACTTCAAAACCTGTCAAAAAATAAAAACACCTGATTGGTAGATGGATGAATAGATAGGTATATGGAATAATAAATGAGAAGGCGAATAGAACAATATGTCTCCTATACAACTCTTTCAACTTGCTGTGTTTGAAAATTTTCATAATAAAACATAATGAAACATAAAATAAAAGGAAATCAACTGAGAGGCATATCAAGACTATGCAAGGGAAAAAAACAAGTCTCCAAACACAAGGTTTATGCATAGACTACACTATAAACACTGATAGTGTCAGAAGCATTCCAATTTTGAAAAAGCTAATTTATATTCTTTACTGAAAATATTGTGTAAAGAAACCTGTGAATGTCCTCTCTTCACCACCTACCCATCATATATATCCATCCATCCATCCATCCATCCATCCTCCATCTTTTTCTTTTTCTCTGGACCCTAATCCTCCTCCCCTCCCACAGAATAATCACAGTTATAGATAACGTCTATTTTTCCAGGTTTTCATATATCATGTATATATACATATCATACATATATGTCATATACATATGATGTAAATATAAAGCATATATGTCATACATATGATAAAACAGATATACAACCAGGAAAATGAGCTAATGCCCCACAAAAATTCTAGAACGTGATTTTTCCCATAGAACATAATCACATATAGATTACCGCATTTTCTCAATAGGTTAAAGTATTCTCACTGTGCAAGTATGCTACAGTTTATTAAATTAACCAACTGAAAACCAATTCCCCACTATATTTTCTTAGTTTGTTCATTTATTCGTTCATGTTTACATTTTGACCAGGAAACATTTTAAAAAACATTCTTAGAGTGTGTGTCTACCCATTAAAAATAATAAATGGGGAAGAGGGAAAGTACACATTTGTGTACACAGAATGTGCTAGATGTTTCTGTATATGTTAGCACTCACTTTCAGCACAACTCTACAAGGTACTCAATGCATAGTTGGGACAAATGACATTTAAAAGATTAAACTTGCACAAGGTCACAAAATTATTAGGAAAGTTTAAGGCTAAACTGTAGTTTGGGCCCTTTGCATCTCCCTTTACTGATGAAACAGAGGTATGACTTTTAAATAAAAGTATTTTTGTTAAACATTATTTAAGAAAATCTGCTGATATTACAATAAAGCCTAATTAATTATACACACACACACACACACACACACACACACACACACACACACACACAGTGTGTGTGTACTTCTTACAACAGAATTTTCAGATCATTTGATTAAACGAGTATCACAGAATTATGAAAATAGCATATTCCTTAATTTGGTCTTGGCAAAAAAAACTGAAAACTGAAATCAATCTATAAGTGTTAAGCTGGAAAGACTACTGACACAAGTTCTTGGAGAAGACAAAGAGAACTTTTGCTTATTAAAAAGTAATGTCTTATCTAAAAAATAATTTTACCCAAAGACATTAAGAATATAAATATTAAACTTCATTGGACTTAATATATAACTGTAAATATTAAGCTTAATCAGATATTTATGTACCTTATATTAAAACTTTCAGTTTGTTTTTAAGAAGTCTCCTTATAACAACTTAAAATTCATTTATGTTCTCTTTTGCAGAAATATAACCTGTATTTGTTAGAATATTTCTGTCTTAATGAACTCAGCTTAAAGCTACACCTATCAGTATTGCCAAAATTCATACTATGACTCATTGATTATTCTGGGACTTCATTCCAGTATCAATATAAGTGGCTTGATTTTTCTTGTTAATTACAAATCAAGACCTTTTCTCTTAGATTTGTCTCTATTAGTCTGTGTATAATAAACTTGGTAACTCACATTTATTAAAAAAAAAAAAAGGGGGAGGGTGCCTGGGTAGCTCAGTCAGTTAAGTATCCAACCCCTTGGTTTCAGTTCAGGTCATAATCTCAGGGTCCTGGGATTGAGCCCCACATCAGGATCCACACTCATCAGGGAGTCTGCCTGAGGATTCTCTCTCCTACCTCTGCTCCTCCCCACCACTCATGCACTTTCTCTCTCTCAAATCAATCAATCCTGGGGGGGGGGGGGGAAGCTTGCTCTTGCTCTTCATTGCTTTATCTATAAATTTAATGTGATCTAAAAATAGAGGAGCAGAACAAGAAGCTGAAGAAAGCAAATATGGATACCTGTTTTATAGCTTGTTGAGCCAAAAAAGCCATCTGTAGTGGGTTGGGCTTTATTGCTTGTCGTGGTATGTTCTGGTTTGGTGGATATCTCAGCTGTTGAGGATGTGGAGGAAGAACTGGTCCATTGGGTTTGGGGCTGTGATTCTGAAAATTTATCAAACGTGGAGGGGGTTGCTGGAAAAAAGAAATTAAACCAATTTAGTAACAATCATCCCTTGAAAGACAAATCTTTCACAGAAAGACAGCACCTCTGTCACAGATGAATAACTTATTAACACTATAACACGGGTATGGGGGAAAGAGGCAGCCTTCTAGAATGTGTATGACTATGTGAAGTTTTATTAGGAAAGAGCCTTGGGGGAATGTTTCCAACTTTAAGCAGGTTACAAAAGGACTGGACATAGGCCATGTTAGGAAGTAGGGAAAATTTGTGTTTGGTATCCTTCGCAGTCTCTGATGATTACATTTCGCAAAGAACTGCCCTCTTCAGATCTCCTAAAGTAATGTGATGGTAGAATAGTAATTGCTAGCATTTACTGAGCAGCTGTTACATGCCAGGTACTGCTTTAAGGGCTTTACGTGAGTTAACTCATTTAATCTTCCCAACAATACTATGAGATAGGAATTCTCTTCATTTTTGAGAAAAAGAAACCGAGGTATAGAGAAGTTAAATAATCTGCCCCAGATTAATGAAGATAATTAAAGATGAAGCTGGAACTTGAACTCAGGCACTCTGGCTCCAAGGTCTGCACTCCTAACCAATAAATCATGAATTATGAAAACAGTTGTTATTAATAACATTTAAAAATTAATGAGTTTTAAATCTCACTGAGATCAAACCATATGTCAAGCATTATGATTAGCATTTTACATATGTTACCTCATTATTACCTTCCACTCATTTTACAAATGAGGACACTAAACATTAGAAAGCTTAGAGAACTTGAAAAAGGTCACAGGACTAGAGCTTTCATCCAAATCTACTACACTATGTCATTACCAAAACACCTGCTGGTGTGTAGCTGGGGGTGGATTAAGGTACTAATTAGAGCTGAGAGGATGAATTTCCCTAAAGGAAAATAGATTTCAAATGGAAACCCTTCAAGGACAACAATGGTGGGTTATACGATAGGGCAAGGGCTGGGAAGGCAAGCCTACTTTGTGCATAAATGCTAGCCCTGGAAATTGAGACCAGTGTTCTAGAAAAAGGTAACCTTATATGCCAGTCGCAGTCTCATGGTGAACCAATTCTATGGTTGGCAATTTGTTGTAAAGCAAGGACTTATTTTTAGCTCTCTCAACTGTATGTGATTAGAACTTCCCAGAAGGGGAAGTATTAACCTCCATATTCACAAGGGGACAAACGTGAAATGTGCAGGGCTGAAGTAACAGAACCTTAACTTTCGGTCCTCCGATGGAGACAGCTATAAAAGACAGCTCTATTTTTGCCCTCTATTTTTACTTTTCCTTTCTCATTTGTGGAATTTACTCTCTTTTCCTGGGTAAATACTTCTTTCCCCCCACTCTTACAAATCAGTTGGCACTGGGTAACAACTCTCAAGAGTGGCCAGCAATTACGGACTCAAAAATAGATTTAGATACTGTTTCAATACAAGGGAAATTCTGTGGGTGAAGAAGAGAAAAGTATTAGAGAAAATGTCATAACTGTACAGATGCATAAGCCTGAAGCCATAGCCATTCTCTTTGATTTTTAAAGTGTTGTGGCTTGAAGGGTTTTGTAGCAGAGAAACGTAACAGAAAACAACTGGGGAATTACAGTGGAAATAGTAAAAAAGTTCTGAATTTATCTAAGAGATAACTTTTTAAAAAGTGGGAAATCATCCAAAATGGTCCTTAGGAGACAATGAAGGAACTTCCATTAGTCCTTTGCTACCCCACTCTCACAGCCCCACTCAGATTTACACATTGATACAGTCAAGGAACGACACTTGGCACTAGAGTAACGTAGTCTGAGCAATCGGTGTCAGGATGGATGTCAACCCTGCCATCAAGGAGCTCACAGTTTGGTAAGACGTCAGGTGTTCTTCCCTCTCCTAAACTGTTATAGTTGATTGTGTTAGACAGGGGAGGCAACTTTGAAGAATAAGACTAGGAACTAGTTATGCACATAAGAGAAAAACCAAAAACCAGTGCTACTTTAATTAAATGGAATCAACTAATTTGCAAGGAAGATACAGAAAGAAAAAAGAGAAATAGCTGAGCACTTAAGCAAACTGACATATAAAAACCATTATCCTCACCCTCACTCTAAGTATCTTTATGATTATAGGTTTTGACTGTATTCTAGGTCAGTAGTTCCCAACTGTGCGTAATAACCATGAAGGATAGCAGATGTCCTTCTAACATCTATTCACTGTTCAGGAAAATTAATGTATACACATGAGCAAGAGTATCTCCACAGCAATAAATGTGATTCAGGAGTGAGAAGCATTGCTGTGAAGTGTGTATAAAATAACAGGTGAAAGTGCTCTCTAACAAGGTGTGATCTGTCCACTGAAATAGACTGCCTATTGCTGAATAAACAGATGCACTGTCTACCAGGTTTGTAACATTTAGTTCTGTCCTACCTCTGTACCATACAACTCTTTAACCATGCAGATTACCTGATTAATATTCAAAGGAATAAGAAATAAGGAACTCTCATGCAAGCAATTTTTATAAGTAGTCCTTTAAACTTAACTGTGTCCTATGGACAGATGTAGAGTGAGATTTGAACATACCCACAAAGCCAGAGGCACATACAACCTCCTTATAGACAGATACCTTCCCACACTTATATGTAAATAAACTGGTAGAAAACTAAGTATATAGCTGGGCAGAGCACTGTAAAAGCTTATGGAGGACAGACTGATGAGTGAAAAATGTATGAGTATTTGGCAGAGAACACGTAAAAATGAGAGATGAGTGTGAAAGAAGATTTAGGAGTCACTGAGAGTAGTAGAAAAACAATACTGTGTGAGGGAACAACCAAAAGATGTGAAAATTACTTTATTTCTAAGAGGAAAAACTAGGTTTCAGAATAGAGATTGTGTATTATATAGATTATACAGCAATAAATCCTAGAGAGGAAAAAAATAAGATCAAAAGCAAATTTCTGATAAGTAGGCCGAAGGCTGAGACATCATTTTCTTTGTGACTCCTTGTGAATAACAATGATAGCGGGACCAAGTCACATAGTATCTACTAAATGCCTCAGTTCCTTCTTAGTGAAAAGGCAATTAACAAAAATAATGAATTTATCTTTTTTCATGTTAATAAACTTAAATAAAAATCACTTTTCAATCTCCCAGACACTTAACATAAATAGTAATCATGAAAATGCTTAGCACTAGGCACCGAACTCTCTCTTCTCTTCGGATTTATCTTTATAAATATTTTGGTACTTTTTAAGGTCTACCTGCACTGTATCAGTCTGCAGAGGTAATGACAAAATTATTTCTCAATTTTCTTAAAATTTCAACTCTGTCAGTTGTGCTCCTGGTATCTAAAGTGTACAAAGTCTTTTCCCATGGAACACCCACCAAAGACGTCTTAAATTCTTTGTTAATTACTTCCTGTGAAAACATGAGTTAAAACAAAGTTCTAGAGGAATAATCTACTGGGTATATTAATATTCCCCTGGATTTGACATGCCTTCTTAATCGAATTACTAGAAAGCCATAAGCCTGAAATAAATTGCTTTAGGTCTTCACAGAAGCAACTTAACAAAATCAGGATCTATACATGTCCATAACTTTATTCAGGGTAAGTAAGAGCCCTATGAAGACAAATTCCCTATTTTGTAAAATTGCTACAAAAAATATTATTATGCCATTCTTAATTACTTTTTCATAAAGAACCACATTATACATTCCTCTTAGCACTAGAAAAATACTAGTTAAAAGATTCTTTCCTAGTTAATTGGCATGTTTCCTTTTAACAAATAATATAGATATTACATCTGTTTCTTGTTTTCTTTGGTTGTGAAAAAATTCTCATCTAAATCTTGTTCTCAAGTAAAAGAATTCTTAACCTAGTTCTGCACACTTTTGATTCTTATTAAGCCTTGTTCCATTTCATTCATTTGTGCCAATCCATTTAAAGTATACTACTTCAAATCCTTCTTACAAATAGAAGAGTACAAATAAATAAATGTAACTGAAATAACAATTTGTATGAATTAATCAGACTTTATATTCTTGAGTAAACTATTAAGCATACCCAGATCTCACCTGAGCGGGATGGTAAAACTCTTGAACAGAGCACATAAACTTATCTTCAAAAATAGATTAAAAGTAAATGGAATACTTCGTAGCTAGTAAAAATAAGAATGTTCATGGAATACCTGCTCAGAGTCTGAAGAAGGGAGATTTCTAGTGAACCACTCCCCAACCTTTTTCTCTTTTGTTTTAACCTAATTTCTAAGACGTGCTGCAGTTTTCCTAAACACTGCATCCCCATAAAGACCAGATAACTGAAGTAGAAATCATTCTGAAGCACTAATACAGGAATGATGAGTTACAGATACACAACTTTATCGTCAGCCATAGGCATGCGTTGTTTAGGAATGCAATCATTTATCCTCGGTTATAACTGAAGACAACAAAGAGTAGATGAAAATAGTTGTACCGGCTAAATAAACCATTAATTCCTTTTTGAGAAAGACTAAAAACTAGGAGTAAAATCAGGGATACTCTGATAAATTTTTATAAATTCATAGATTTATATCATAGATGATAGATGTCTTGGTTATTTTAAAAGATGCTGAATACAATTGTACTATAATTATCTAAGTTAGGACAGGCCTGCTTCCAAATTTACCTGATGAGAGATGGAAGGTTGCTGGATGGGCCCCTGCATTCTAGGGTTTGGTAAACCCACAGGTGCTGGCCTCCGTTGCACCTGTTGCCTCTGAGCCATTACCTGTTGCTGCATATGCTGGAGTCGTAATTGAGCTAGGCTGATCTGTGTTGGAAACTTGGATAACTGGTTTGAAGATAAACCACCTGGTGGCTGTGAATTCTGTTCCACAACGGGATTCTGTTTAGGCATTTGTGGCTGACTCTCTTTATCTTCAATTACTAAAGAACCTAATCAAAGAGAAAAAGTTAAGTTGCAAAGTTTTTCTGATAGTGAAATAAGGCTATTTTTGCTGAACTTCAAATTGCCAAGAAATTTTTTGGTCTCAGAAACATTTTAGACTCTTAAAAATAGAAGGCCCCAAAGAGCTTTTGTTTATGTAAGTTCTAATCAAATTTTACCATATTAGAAACCATTAAAAGCATTTTTTACTTATTAATTCATTTAAAAATAACAAACCCATAATATTTTTATGAAAAATAATTTTTCAAAAAAATAAGTGGAGTGTCACTGTCTTAGTATTTTTAAAAAAATCTCTACGTGTTTCGCCTAAAAGTTGAACTCTTCTGTTTTTGCATTATCCGTCATTATATACTTTGGGTTGAAATATCTGAAGAAAACTGGCCACAGACAGACATGTAGTTGGAAAAGGGAGTCCTTGTGGTCTCCTAAAACAGCCTCATGCTGTATCTTGAGAACTGCTGTTGTTTATCAAAACAAAACAAGCAAACCTGACACTGGTTCTAAAATTCCCACTATATATTTCTGATTCTCTAGAATGAGCAATTCGTAACCTTTCAAGTTCCTTTTATCTTCACAGTGCACACTACGTCAGTCCTCTGAGAGACAATACTCTGGCTTAGTTACACTTTTAGAATTCAAAGGTGCCTCTAACTGGGTCTGATTAAAGTACAAGGCCAAAGCTTGAGTTCTTCAACAGTACAGGATCAAATGTTTCTGATTTACCAAGCATAAATATCCTAAAAAATGTGGTTATCATTCAGTAAATACTCACTGTATGCAGGCAATATGATAGTAAGTCTATGTATATCCTTGTTTAAGTCCTTTCTTTGGACAAGGGATCTAAGGGTTCAGAGAGATTTAACAACTTACCCAAACTCACCAAGACATTAACTGAACATTCGTCTAGATCAATTATTTTTCCCTTGTACTCTTCTATTTCTCAGAAGCCATGGATAAACAAGTTTAGGAAAGCTTGTCTCTTTGTTAGAGTATTTAAGATGCAAACCTCATTGTAAATGACAATTTATACAACTGTAAATGATAGCTCTGAGAAGTCTTACAGTAAACGATACTGTTTAATTTTTTTACAGGATTTGCACAAACTTCACAAATAGGGATGCTGTTTTTGTTTTTGCTGATACAGATTCATCTAAAATTATGTCCACTAATGTGTGTATAGTTACACACATACTCTTAATTTTACCTACATCTACATCATGTGGTTTATAGTGTAAGCAATATGTTTGTAAGTACACATATTTCTGTATATGACTATTTATGGGGATAGGTTCTCTGTAGAGCTAAAGGTGTGGTGGTTTGGTGGGGTAGGATAACAGATAGTTCCTTATAAACACACTTTGTATTAAGATGCTTCTTTTTGGGACGCCTGGGTGGCTCAGTTGGTTAAGCAGCTGCCTTCGGCTCGGGTCATGATCCCAGTGTCCTGGGATCGAGTCCCACATCGGGCTCCTTGCTCAGCAGGGAGCCTGCTTCTCCCTCTGCCTCTGCCTGCCATTCTGTCTGCCTGTGCTCGCTCTCTCTCCCTCTCTCTCTCTTTGACAAATAAATAAATAAAATCTTTAAAAAAAAAAAAAAAAAAGATGCTTCTTTTTAGTAATGTAGGTGAGATTGTGTGTGATTCCAGTTGCCTGTCACCCACCAATAATAAATACACTGCTGCATGCACTTTGAAACTAAGCCTCAGGGGTCATCTTATCATCATCCTTTTTGTTCTTCCGTTGTATGGATGAGATCTGTGTAAGCTTATTGCTTCCTTTCTTGGTATGACAGCACTCTTTCTAGCCACTTCTTCCTTTCTTACCCAGAATCTAGCCTAGGGAATGAAAGGGTAACTATCTTTGATGTCTTCGAAACATAGTCAATGAGACCAAAAACTGTCATCAAAGGGAATACATTGGTGGTTGAATGAAGAATGTATAGGGAATTCTTAAATTTCTACTTCTATAGATTCCCTGTGAGAAATTAAGAAGCAAAGAAGTGAAGACTTTCTCTACTAGCAAATAATATAGGGAAATTAAAGTAATAACTTCCTGCTGAACTGCCTGCGAAGATATGTGAACTGACCAAAAATGATAGTTTCCCTTTGTGATTATTCAGTGGGCTCTAATACTTAAAACTGGGGCACTTTTCTGTGTGCATGTTACACTCTAATTAGGAAGTTTAAAAATATATAGTTATTACATAAAAGACAGAATAAAAAATGAGAAGTCTTCCCTAGCAAGATCAAGCAAATGAGCCTTTAGGCATGTCATAACTGGGTATTAAGAATAAGTAAGCCAATAGGAGACATACTATTTCATCAGAAAACATTCCAAATGTAAAAAAATCCTGTACTGATGGCAGTCACGAGTCAAATGTTTTATTAACTACAGTACAAACAAGGTTGTATGGAAAAAAGAACTTCTAAATCCGAAGTCTACTCTGTGAGTCAATATAAAGGATGTTCATATCATCCATTTATTTACATGTGTATTTGTATTCATGCATGTGTCATGCAGACTCATAACATTAATAAAAAACTGGCAAAATTTCAAAAACTCTTTGGGGGTAGAAGGGAATACATTTTCAGTAACATATCATAATCATTAAGAATTCCAGAAACAAATGGCACTTTGAGAAAATGGACAGAAGAGCATACCTAAATTGATAATATTTTGAGCCCAGAAACTAGGATCACAGTGAAACTGGATGGTATTGTTGGTCACTGGGGAAGCATCACACCTCGCTCGAAGAAGGTGCCGTAACCGGTATGTAATCTAGAAGAAAGGAGAGACAACTAAACATTGGCATCTTTAATCAGGCAAATATTTTATTAAGTTCCCAGTAAATACACAAAAATGATCTCTGGTATGTATGCTAACACAAAATAAGTAATCCTATCTAAGTTATAAATGTGGATAAGCAGGTTTTTTTTTTTTTAACATGTTAAAAGTTTTGAGATATAATTCAATTAGCTATACTACTGAATACAAAACTGAAAAGTATCTTAAAGTGATAGGTTAAAGTCAGTTTTTTGAATTAATAAAACCTCAGAGAAGCACCAATTAAGTATCTGTAAAATAAATCCTAACACATTTTGCTCTTTTATTTCACTTATTTAAAGAAGGATTTAACATTTATATTAGGGGGCTAATGAGTTATGGGAAGTACAAATTAATCTCAGCCTAGGGATTGTTCTCCTTGCTTCTATGTTTGGGATATCGCGTCATCACACCATATCCCCCACCTCCTTCCTCATTGTAGTTCTCAGTGAATAGTTGGTCATTTTCCCTCAGTCCTTGAAGAATTTAGTTCCTGGCTCATTATCACCATCTCTAACATTACTCTTGTCATTACTTCTTGGTGATTTTAATATCCAACCAGCTGATCCTTCTTTCCAGCTTCCTCTAGTCCCAGGTACCAATAATGCTATAAACCTTCAGGGTCCTACCAGTGTTTGCTCTTATAATTTTCCCCTGTCGTTTGAGCTCACCTCACCATTAACCTTACCCAACTGAAAGCCCAGGGTCAATCACCATAATCACCTTGCATATACCCTTGTATCTCTTTCTCTCACATGCTCTAGCACATGTACTTCTTTCCCTCTCAACTTTTCCCCAAACAAAACAAAACAACCCTGGCTTTATATCCAACTTTTGCCCAGATATAAATGGGCTAATAAACACATGACAATTTATTTCAGGTAGGCCCCTAAATTTGACTGGCTATCCTGACATTTTTCTGGTAATTTACTTCCCTACCCTCCTAAATAACTACTCAAATTTTCTTCTCAAATCTCTAGCACCTCCTTCCTTTTTCCATTCTCAATCTCAGCTGATGATTTTGCTTATAATTTTACTGAGAAAGCAAGGAACAATTACGGACCTTCTATAAACTCTCACCACTTGTCAGTATAAGTGTTCCCTCTTATTACAATGGATTAAATGGCCATTTTTTTTTTTTAAGAGTTTATTTGAGAGAGACAGAGAATAAGCAAGAGAGCATAAACCTGGAGCCAGAGGGAGGATGTAGGGAATATCAAGCAAACTCCCCCATGGAGCCTGGAGACTGATGTGGGGTTTGATTCTAGGACCCTGAGATCATGACCTGAAATGAGCTGAAATGAAGAGTCATAAGCTTAAAAGACTGAGCCACCCAGGTGCCCCTAAATGGCCATACTTCTAAAGCCAGTCCTCCCACTTGTGCAACAGTACCCAACCCTTCTTGTCTACTCACAGACACTGCTCAGCAATTTTCTTCGCTCTCCTGTATCACCTAGGCTTCCATTTTACTGGATCACTCTTATCAACATATAAATATGTCTTAACTTTTCCCAGCTGAAAACAAAACTCTTGGCTCCTTTTCTCCTCTAACACCCACTGCTCCATTTTCCTGCTCTTCTTTTTACAGAAAACTCTTTAAAAAACTCATCTATTTTTACCGCTCCCTGTTCCCCTCCTCCCATTCTTTTCTGAAACCATTTCTTTCACTTGGCTTTCAGCATACTATACTCTCATAGTTTTGCCTTTATTTTACAGGCTGCTATTTTTCGGGGCCACTGAGAATAGGTTTCAGTTCTAATGCACCATCCCAGTCTCCAGTGTTTGTTCTTCCAGTCTTGCCACTGCCCTCTACTCTCCTATCCCTACATAGTTTTAGTGATCTCATATAGTCTCATAGTTTAAATTACTCTTTAATCTGTAGCTCAAGTCTGGATCTCTCTTTTGAATCTGCATCTCCAACTGCTAAGTCAACATCTCCACCTGCTTGTCTGACAGGCACCTCAAATTTAATATGTCTAAAAGAGAACTTCTGATCTTTCTCTTCAAGTCTACTTGTCTTAGAATCTTCTCCATCTCCATTATTGGCAGCACTACTTTTCCACCACTTTGTCAGTCCTTGGTTCCTCTCTTTTTCTCAAGCCCTACATTCAATCTGTCAGCAAATCCTACTGCTTCTATCCTTAAAAGACATGGATAACCCTACCAGTTTTCCTATCAACTCTATTAATTCTCCTACTACTACCTTGAAAAAACCACCTTATTGCAGTAAGATTCTAACTGGTCTCCTTTATTTCTTCTGTGCTCTCAATAGCCACAATGATTGTTAAAATATAAATCATATTCTGTTCTTTTTCTCAAGTCCCTCTCAAATGGGTCCCCATCTTACTCAGATTAAAAACCAAAGTCTTCATAATGAACTACAATGCTTGTGCTGTTTGACTTTGCATTACTTCTCTTACTCATACCACTTTCTGCTCCTTCACCCTTCTGGCCCCCCAGGCTTCCTTGTATCCATACCACAAAAACTTCCACCTCTACCTTTGCACTTGCTGTGTTCTCTGCCAAAAATTCTTTCCGTTGAGTATTTACTTCCAACAGGGCTTGCTTCCTCACTTCCTTCAATATCTGCTCAAATATCACCCTTTTTAGATAGATTTATGTATCTAAAACTATAATCCCTACCCCAATGTTCCCAGACTCCTTTCCTTAATTTACTTTTCTCTAGAGCACTTAACACCATGTAACAATATACATATTTTACTTATTTCTGTACGCTCTCCACTAAAACCTAACTCCTTGGGCTGGGAAAACTGTTTCCCCCGTGCTTAGAATGCTGCCTAATATATAGGAGGTGTTCAATAAGTAAGCGTTGAGTAAATGAATTTGCTTCAGGTGCTAAATTATTTCCAACAGCTATAAGTTCTGAGTCAAAAACCTTGAACTTATTTTGGGACTATGCGGAACACATGGCACAGTGTGTAGCAAACAGCACTCAACACAGTGTTCTTCTCCTTAAGTTTTTCTCCCTCTAATTTTTTACATCCTGTAACAGTTCTCACTGTAAGAATGCTAAGCAAAGTTATCATTCCAAGAATTTTCCCTCATTAATACACTCATGTTTAATCATTTCCCAAATTTGATCATTTTGAAATAATTTTAAAATTGCAGAAAACGGAAAAGAACTCTTTACCCAGATTTTGCAACGGTTAATGTATTAGCAGGTTTGTTCCAGTGCCTCCCAACTGCTTCTGCACACATACACTATTACTTATCTTTTTCTGAACCTCTTGACAGTAGGTTGAAGACATGAGGTTCTGTCTACCCCAAGCACTCACTGAGTATATCTTAAAACAGAGATCCTCTAACATAAGTGGCAAGTTCCAAATTCCAAAAGCAGGTTTGTCACAACACTGCATTCCAATCCAAAGACCTCATTCAAATGGCAAGTCTTGCAACAGGGTCACTTCCCAGAATGCTATCAAGGAACACAGGTTGGGTTTAGTTGCCACATCTCTCCAGTTCCTTCGTCTTTCCCTGTCATTTATGTCCTTGATAGCTTTGAAGAGTTTGGGGCTTATATTCCGCAAGATGACAACATAGGTCTGAGTGTAGTTCCTCCTGATCAGACTTAGTAAAGCATCTTTGTCAGGAATCCCACACAAAGATAATGTGCATTTCTTAGCACATCAGATCAGGAAGCTCAGGATGTCAATCTGTCCCGTAACTGCTGATACAAATCCTCATCACCTGGCAATTCTGCTGCCCAGTTTCTCCACCTTAAATTCACTGGATTTCCCCTTTTGTAACTGGTTAGTATTTTGCAAAGAGGTATTCTAGGATTACACTGAAATCCTTTTCCATCAATTTTCTATTCACTAGGTGAGTGTACTCTGATGACTCCTTAATTACCTCTACGATAGTAACTGCTTATCTATTATTCTTTTTACATTTATTGATTTACATTGTGAAATAAACTTTTCCCTTCTTTATCATTGCTGTAGAAAAAATGATTAAAATCAGAAATGTGAGCACTTTGTTAAAAGAAAATCAACTCTGTTAAATAAAGGGAACTATGACGTAAACCCCTGGGATATATACCTTTCCCCTCTTCAGGTACTATGCTGTAAATCCCTTCTTTTGCTATTGAAAAGCTAAAAGACACAATTTAATTACAACTCAGATAGTATCTATTTGCTAATTAAGTTGTGCAAAGGTCTAAAAATATTATCAAACTTGGGCAAACTCTATTCATTAAGTAATGATGTACTATGCTGTCAAGATGTAAGAGCTCTCTGTCAAATTATTTTACAACCCATCTAAAATGTAAACCTTGTCAAAACTCCTGATACATGTTTTAGATCATTTTGAAAGGTCACAAAGCCTGGCTAGTGTAGAAGATAATGGTTCATTAAATATACTTTTTTTTTTTAAAGATTTTATTCATTTTTTTTTTTTTCTGAGAGAGAGAAAGAGAGTGCACAAGCAGGGAGATCAGCACGCAGAGGGAGAGGGTGAAGCAAGCTCCCCACTGAGCAAGGACCTGGGGATCAAGACCTCAGCCAAAGAAAGACACTTAACTGACTGAGCCACCCAGGCGCCCCAGTGGTTCCTGAAGTAGACTTGTTAATCCTTTCAGATGTATCTGAACTTAAATATACCCCGGTTTCATACTGAAAACTTCAAAAAGCAAAAGATGAAAAAAGTTTTTTAAAATATAAAGGTATGAAAACAGCTTTCAAGATAGTAATACTGTATACTGTCTCCTTTCTATTGAAGTTAAACTTAAAGAAGAAATTTCATATTTGAATTTCCAATCCTGTAAAAATTAACATGCAGTTTTGTTTATATTTTGAATTTCTGGTAGAAGATGTTTTATCTGCCATTTTTCACCATCGATCTTTTGTTTCATTCCTCTACATCAAGCAGTGAGTAACACAAAATTCCTACCTTTAAGAAGTATGAAGTCTAACGAGAGTCCTAAAAACATGCAAATACAACAGTAGATAAAAGTCAGTAATCATATGATGAACATATGCACAAAGGACTTAAAAACACAGAGAACAGAATTTCAACCCAGTTTCGGTCACGAATGGCTGCCAAGAGGAAGGGAAGACAAAACCTGAACTGAAGCCGGCAGAGTCTTTAAAAAAGACGAACATCAGTTACTCCGGAAAGAAGAGGCATTCTAAGAAAGGTACCAGTACCCGGGCAAGAAGCATCGTATACTACGAGCCCCAAGGAACAGAGGCAAGGTGCTGCCAATGACACCCCCAGGAAACATAAAGAAGGTCTTCAAAGAGTAGTTAGATGGGAGCGGAGGAAAAAGAAGAGACTGTAAATTTCTTTTGTAACTTAATAGTCTCCTAATTGCTATTATTATAGAAATATTTACTGCTAGTAAAAGGGATGATAGTGCTTTACTCTCCGGGTCTTTCTTCTGTCAATATTTCTTGCCCTCCTTCTAAATTACATAAGAATAAATCCAGTGTTAACATGCTGACAGAAGAATCCTGAGGAAATACTGTGCAAATGTTTCAATATATGTAAAACTGGACTTCTGAAAAGATTCCACTGTTGCATTGGGTTTTGTTTATTGGCCATAATTCCTATAGCAAAAAGATGAACTGAGAATTACAAGTCAAGCTTGAAATTTCAGACCCGCAAGGGATTTCTTCTTTTTTTAAGCACATAAAAGCCATCATTTAAAGGATAACCTGAGTAAATGTGGCTACAGGTAACAAGCCTAAGAATGATGAAAACCACTGTAGAATGTAGCAATTTTCAAAGCTTTCGAGGTTGGAAACCCTTGTCAGTGTTTACAGATAATCATGAGCCTTAGCTCTGTAGGCATTACAGGCAAATTATTTTATTAACCACACTGGCTACTGGTAATGCTTTGAGGCCTACTTGGGTTCCATAGGCTTTTAAAAAATTAGGAAAAAAATGATTTAGTCAATTAGGTATTGGTTCCTTATAACTGATTCCTTATAATTTGCTGAGCCCATTTTCTCCTATATATGAAATAAAACAATTTCCTTCTCTCCTATGTCAAGAAATCATTAACATAACTAATCAATCTTCTATTTTATTGTTTTCTATTATAATTGTAAACAAAATCATAGAATAAAATTAGAGAAATTTTTAAACAGAAGAGATTGATTATCTATATGAATGTCTTACACATATATAGTAACAATATTCAATAATCCTAATTTTTCATCATAATTGAAAAAAGAATTCTCTCATTTTCTACTTTTCTTTTTCTGTTACATTTTCAGAAAAATATTCAGGAAAACAGAAGATAGATATCTATATAGAAGCTGTTTTTCATTACATCAGTAAAGCACTTTAAAAAAGAAAAGACTCAAGAAAGATTCTATCATTGAATATTATGAAAGAAAAAATTCTAAGAGTGAATACAATGCATGATTAGGAATAGTTTCAGAAATAGTTACTAATCAGTTTTTTGTTTGTTTTTTTTTTTAAATATTTTATTTATTTGACAGAGATCACAAGTAGGCAGAGAGGCAGGCAGAGAAAGTGGGGAAAGCAGGCTCCCCGCTGAGCAGAGAGCCCTGTGCAGGGCTCCAAGGGCTCCATCCCAGGATCTTGAGATCATGACCTGAGCAGAGGCTTAACCCATTGAGCCACCCAGGCGCCCCTAAAATACTACTGTTTTCCCTGTCAAATAAGCAAAGATTTCCCAATTACAACAAATTGAGGGTGGATGGCAGGGGTTGGGGGGGTGGACAGGGAATGGGCTAAATGGGTGATGCAGATTAAGGAGGGCCCTTGTCCTGATAAGCACCGGGTGTTACATGTAACTGATGAATCACTAAATTCTACTCCTGAAACCAATATTATACTATATGTTAATTAACTAGAATTTAAATAAAAACTTCAAACAAACAAACAACACCCCCCCCACCAAAATGATGCGTAAGTTTAAGTGAAATATTACATGAAAAATGCTTGGAATTAGTGTCTGACACACTATAGGTGATCAAGAAATATTTACTATTATTGTTTTTGGTATTAAGTGTAATAGCCACTGAGAGAAAACCTGGAAAAGAATAAGACCGGAATGACAATGGTAGATTAAAACTGAAGTTACACCTAAACCATGGCAGTTAATATATTTTTTAAAACCAAAATATTTTGATTAAAATTAGAAATAGGTAAAAAATATAGAACTAGGTGAAGGGCAATGAAGTACAAATAGACTAACAAACATTTCTGAATGTTAAATATTCTAATACCGCCACTGTTTCTCTGTGTTTTGATGGTATGTGAAATGCATTATTCAGTCTATCTTACCAGTCGCTTGCTATAAAGTAATGCTGTACTGCTGCCACTGGAAACTGCCCATTTAGAGAAATGCATGACATGCTCCAACTGTTTAGAAAGCCCAGCCACTTCCTGTTGTTGCTGCATAAGTTTCATGCGATGGTCCTTTGCAAGGCTCTGAAAAGAAGAAAATTTCAACATTTGTCTTGCACATAACATATCTTAATTGTCATTTTCAAATTACCAAATTAGAGTAACTGCCACCTCTGAGAACTCAAATGATAGAAACTTAAAATACGCTTAGTGGTTTTCTCCCTCAGTATGAAGGATCGCTCTCATTGCCCCAAAAACCTGTGCCTCAAACACTGCGGAGCTTCTGCTGCTGCCACCATCACCACTGCCGTCACTGCCTCTGCACCCCCACCCCAGACCCTTGGTCTAGTAGTTTGACATATTCTGCAAATTTAGGTCTCTGTTCATGTAACTTCCAATATCCAAAAAGGGACAAAAGTCATGGATTACCTATGATATAGTAAACGCCTGTTAAATTCAATACTCACAAATAAAATAGATGTATCATCCGGCAATCTAATAAAATTACCAGATCACACGATTTGTGCAATCACAGTATTTCACCTTTTCAGGCATTCCAGTCTTGACTGCAACCACTTTGTGGCCAGTCATGCCATATGGTAGACAACATTTATACTTTGTATGTGGTTAGAAAGGGATATGTTTTTTTGTCCATTGAGAATTACCTTGGGAGCCAATTGATAAAACGACTAGAGGTGCCAAAGCATTCTCAGAAAAACTACATAAAAGCAGAGTACAGAGTATCTCTAAGGAAGCACACAAGCAAGAACACAGATTAATCAAAAGTAGAGAGCACTGGGGGTGCTTGGGTGGCTCAGTCGGTTAAGCGTCCAACTGGCGGTATCAGCACAGGTCATGATCTCAGGGTCCTGGGATAGAACCCTGCATCCAACTCTGTGTTTAGCGGGGAGTCTGCCTGGGATTTTGTCTCTCCCACTGCCCTTTGCCTGTTCATATGTGCATGTTCTAAAATAAATAAATAAAATCTTAAAAACAAAAAAGAGAGAGTACTGAACCTGGGTTATTTTAAAATTCTCTATGCAAAAGTCTTTTTTTTTTTTTAAAGATTTTTTATTTATTTATTGGACAGAGAGAGATCACAAGTAGACAAAGAGGCAGGCGGAGAGGGAGAGAGGGAAGCAGGCTCCTCGCTGAGCAAAGAGCCCGATGCGGGACTCGATCCCAGGACCCTGAGATCACGACCTGAGCCGAAGGCAGCGGCTCAACCCACTGAGCCACCCAGGCACCCTATGCAAAAGTCTTTTAAGGAAAGGGAAAATGATAGAGTTCTGTACTGATCCTGAAGTTTAAAAATAAAATTTCTATACTCCAATATGGATTTATATTCTCATTTTTTAAAAAAATGAACCTAGATCCTGACCCTAGTCAATTTCAAATTTGGAAAATACACAGGTGCTGAAGTGAATTAAGGGAAAAACTGCAGTGACAGTCAATGGCTTTGTTACATCTAATTTAAGTTTAGAGATTACTTACTTTTTACAGTGGTCAGAAATAGCCTAAATGTTTCTTTAGAGACATACCAGAAAGAATACAAGTTTTGTTGACTTTGGGAGAGGTTGTACATTGACAATAAGAAGCCTTAGTTACTTGGGTCTTCTATGGTAACAACTATTTGAGCCAATTTCTGGATTCTTAGATAAAAGTGGCTGCATTTGTTTAAGAAGGATTCTGTGAACCAGAAGAATGGACATGAGGACCAGAAGCATATTTAAAAGGTGCTATAAAAACTGTAAGTCAATAAAGTTGATTATAAATAATATTGATGACTAGGTTCTTCATTCCTAGAGATTTGGGATCTGGTCATCTTTTGTTATCTTCAAGTGATTCTGATTTACAGAGAAGTCTGGAAAGAGCCACAGCAATGCATGCACTGCTAATCTCTGAGAAAGCAAATCTAAGTGAGGTCTGATTTTAAGCGGAACTTGGAAAACCTTGTTTAAAATGATTCTTTAAAGAAAAAAATAATCACAGAACCTTGCAAAAATAGTTCCTGTAAATAAGGCTGTCTGGACAGAACACTTCTTCACTAAATAAGTATCTGTTTTCAAAAGGACAGAGAATTATTTTAGTCTTTGTTTCCTGTATGTTTGATAAGCCATGGGAATGATCATGCTTTCCCAGGAGGGATAGGACTCCGTGGGACAAAGACCTTATAATTTTGTCAACTACAAAATAAAGAGTTTGAACTAAATTATTTCTAGGAGTGGTTTTTCCCCCCATCTTCAAATATCAGAATTCTAATTCTCTTCTCACTGTAAATTGCTTGCTTTACTATGAATTCTTTCTGCACCAATATACTAAAGAATACTAAAATACCATGCAATTAATATTATGTTAATATTCCATGGAGAAGTTGTAACCTCATATTATTTGGAGTCAAACACTGACTTTGGATCCTGACCTTCATTAGTGTAATAAAGCCCATGAAAACCATAATATCTTTCTTCCCATCGTGAGAAACAACTATCTTAAGTGCCTTGAGCATCCCTCACTACATACTGCTTTCACAGTCAAGACTGTAAAACGTTGAAAGCAGGAGACACGTCCTTTTATCTAATTTCTCATCAGGTTAAATGCTTATGTTTCAAAATGAAATACAGCCTTGTTATCTTTCTAAAAAATTTTGCTCAATTGTACTGCTTCAGGGACCCAAAATTGTCATTTCAATGAATCTAAAATGATTAATCCCTTCAACATTTAGAGAACTCCTTCTTCAAGCAAAGCATTATGCTTTGTGTTACCAAGTACACACTAAGCCATAAACTCTGAGCTATAATGCAGAATCCGGCAAAAGAAAACTCGGGAATGAAGAAGTATTACTGAGTCATAAATGGAAACAATTACATGAAAAAGGCGGGGATTCCAAATCCACAAATACATGAGAAAATACTATATTAAATTGCTATAACATACTGTCCCATTAACAGTAACTTACCTCAAGCTGGTGCAGTAGAGCTTTTCCTTTTTTATTTATTTCTACCATCAATGTAAATATAGCAACTTTAATATCCTGTTCCACCTGCTTTTGATTTTGATTTACTTCAATTATCCTGAAAATTAAATGAAAGGGGGAAAAATCTAAAATCTAAGGCAGAAGATTGTTTTACAATATTTAAAATTGATTTTTTAATGTGTAATTTAGGCCAAAATGTTTTCAACTCTTAAAAGCTCAGCTGTTTCTAAGGGTCCTGCAGTTTAAATTGACTTTCTTGAAGATGACATACAGAAATGTAATTCTTCTGAAAGACACAGTCACTTAATTCAATCTTAAAACCAAAATGTATAAAATTGCAAGAGAATGAACACATTTTAAGAAAATATGGTTTGGAAAGATCATGATGAAAATCATCCAAGCAAATCAATACTTGGCCTAAAAGGTCAGACAAAAAAAATGATTTATAAACAAGAAAACCATGACTCTGAAAGTGTTCGATTATATCCACTATAACTAAGAAATAGGAAAGTGTAAATGGGTCACCCCTAGTCATCTGAATGGCTACGCACTAATTATACCTGCACAGAGGCAAAGAGAACAACAGTAGTTTGCTACTTTTAATAACAAATTTGTCTTAAAATAAGCAGCTAAATACTACTTTATGTTTCATCAACTACCATGTACAGTTTCTCCTTTGATTAGAGAAAATGGAAAGCTGTTTTCATGGAGATTGAGGTAGAAAGAAAATGCATCATACCAGACTATCTTATAGAAGCAGAAGAGAATAATGGGACACCCACTAAACATTTTGAGATAAATTAAGTTTCATTTCTCCAGTATGCTTCTCTAATAGTTACCCACTGAAATTTAAAACCCATAGGGCATAGATTTTATTCTTTTGCAAATTCTTTAAGGTAGTTAACTAGCACCAACATTGGCTATAAGATTAAGAAACTCAGATCTGGGAAGTGAACAATCCCCTGAAACAAAACAAACCCCAAAAAACTAATTTAAATCCTCATGATGGTTGAACATGATGAAAAAAGGACAAGCAATGCTGTGTTTGCACATGCATAAAAATGAATTAATACCAAAGTAAGCCATCCCAGTAAATGGAATCCTTTTATAATCAGGTAATCTATACAGATATGAGCAATTAGCACCTAATCCAAGGATTCTTTAAGTCTTAGCACAATTCAAAAACCAAAATCCTTCCATTCAATAATGTATGACTTCGTAAAAACAGCATAAACCACTAACAGAAAGGCAAAAAAACAGATGTGGAGAATTCACACTACCTGGTTTGAAGACTTACTATAAAAAGCTACAGTCATGAAGAAAGTGGGGGTACTGGCAAAAAAGAAAAACACAAGGGAACAGAACAGAGCTCAGAAGTAACCTTATACATATGTTGTCAACTGATTTTCTACAAAGGAATCAAGGCAATAATAACAAAATAAACGAAGTGTAGGAACAAATGAACATCTGTATGTTACAAAAAAAGTGAACTTTGGCTTATAGCTCACACCATGTACATGAGAGAATAAGATAAAAGTCAAGAATACATTCTGTCAAGGGTGGATCTTTTACACAAAATTAGTTATTTTACACTTGCTACCATTTGCCATTTAGAAACACCCAGAACTCACTCTCTCTTCAACATTCCATGAATTCCTTTAAAAATTTTCAACTACTCAGAAAACTTTTAAACCCACCACTTACTCTATTTGGCAAAAATAGTATTATGATTAGAATATGGTAAATGAAACAGTATTTGGTTAACACAGTTATGTGAAAAAGAAAGGTAAAATGAAATGAGAACTGGTAAGTATAATAAAAACAAAAGATACACAATAGAACTGTTATTATCACAATAAATAAAAATGGGTATAATACTGAAGCAACAAGAAGAGGGTAAATTTAAGAATATCTTTAAAAGAATTAAACCAGGGAAATCCTTGGAAAAAATTTCCACCATAACCATTATCCAAAATGATAAGTATAACAGATTATGATGATTGGTCTTAAGGAAGATGAGCCACAAAAGACTTTTTCTCTGTGAGTAACATTCAAATCCCCTGTGAGGACTCTCTTATTCGGGCTCTTCCTAAAAAGCATTTCTTGATTTATTTAGGTAATGATAGGTTTCTTTTGTATGTAGAACAACAAAAGAAGGGAGATACAGGATTTCACAGGTGTTGTAAAGGTTGTAAATCTGTCAGTGTGGGTTCCAAATGGGATAAAAAAATGCAGAGGCTAGACCAACTCCCTCTTCTATGTGGTTAGTGGTTTAGTCCCCTAATCACCGAATTGTGAGATATGAGCCTCTGGACAGTTGAAGAGGAGGACTCCAAAAAGTGTAACGGCTAATATGTAGAAACTATGTCAGTATTGTATCTGATAAGGAACAAAAGGTGTGTGAAACTGTTCAATGATCCCTGTTTCCTGCTGTCCTAAGATCTCCACTTTATTGCAGTTAAAAGTTGACACCCCAGAGAAGGCTCTCAAAGTTTGCCAACACTTAAAAAAGCTATTTGATATATATATATAATCAAGTATTAAAGTATTTTACAATACTGGCACAAAAGCAGCTGATTTTGTTTTTAAATCCTGGCATTTCTTCAAAATTTGAAACACTAGATAATTATAAATTATCAACATCTGCCAGATAAATGAGCCATTACTCAATGTAGTTTATTACAGTAACAGTTTTGAAATTTCATGGCTGAAAAGAATGCTTTCCAGCCCAGTTTCCAGAAACCCAAAGTTTCTGGAGAAGTCTTCTAAGCTATGTGTTATTAGAGCCATCTAACAAGCTTACTTGGACCTACTTCACCATGAGCTAAGTAAAATGTCTGTTCTCAAAGTGAATATACTTAATATGTTATATAAATATGATTCTTTTAATAACACCACAAATGTAAATTTACCTGTTTTGGATCTGATTTCCTGTGAATTTTATGTATTTTGTTTTTTCCATCAATTTGGTGATTAGTGTATCTATGATCACTTTCTGATTCTGAAAAGCTTCTTCTATAAATTGGTATCTGGAAAGACAAGTAAACAAGCCAATTATTTCAAGCTAATATATCTAAAATGAGGAAAAGCTACCACATAGAAGCTATTTAAGATTATAAAAGACATAGTAACAATAATCTTTAAAAAAAAAACAAAAACAAAAACAAAAAAACCCACAAACCTCTAAAATGTCCCTAGAAGGGAGGTTTTTCATGCTTTCAAAGTTTTCCCTAAGAAAAAGGGAGTTGTTACAGATATTATTCATGGATACTCTTAAATTATTTTGGAAACTTGGAGAAGATACACATCTACCATTCATAGTTGGCTGGGCTGGCAAAAAGTAATCACAGATATTTAAGTAGATTTATTTACTATTTTGCATTTTCACAATCATAAGAGTTTGATGCTATAAACCTACATTTTAAAGATCACTTTTAAACATTAGGTAGTTGTGCCCCAGAGGGCACAAATATATGCCTTTGGGAAAAATGGAAGAATAAGAAACACTCTTGATGTTATGCCTTGTATGCAATAATGCTTTAACCAACATACAATACAGCACTTTAAAAAATTTAACTTGGAAGTCAACATGATAACCTCCGACAAACTATGCAGATAACTCAAGAGTAGCTCCAGGGAAACAGTAATATAGAAGATTACCAGTATTACTAATTTTTCATAAAATGCATAAAATACAGTGTTTTACATAGTATGATTTAAAAGTGCAAGCACACTTAAATCAGTCAGTATTATAAACAGCGTTGCCAGCATTAGAAAAAAAGGGGAACACAGTTAATAATTGTTGGATTTCCTTCGTACATAATGCACTCTTTGGGACCCTGGTCAGTGTAACGTTAAATGAAATGGTCAAAATGGTAATTGTTAACTTGTTCCTAAATTCAATCTAAAAATTTCTAATATTCCAGTTCTTTTAGTAGATCATTTTTACCAGATTTAGGAAATTTCCTTTATTCCTCATTTGCTAAGATCTTCTATCATGGGTGTGTGTGTGTGTATTTACAGAATGTTTCTTCTGTCTCCTGAAATCATCATGTAGTTTTCCCTTTATTCTCTTGATATGAATTACATGAAAGATTTTCAAATGTTAAATGAACTGTACACCTAGAACAAAGCCAACTTGGTTGCAGTTATATTGCCCGAAACTCACAGTATTACTGGATTTGGTTTCCTACTTCATTTCTTAGAATTTTCACATTCATTTCATGGGTGAGACTAATCTGTCAATTTTCTATTTTTATTCCCCATAAAATAAGTCGGAGAGAATTCATTCTTTCATCATTCTCTGCAAGGCTGTATGCATTTAAAGGTGTTATTTTTTACCACACCCATGTTGCTGATTCATCAATTAAGTCATTTGGGTCTGTAGTTTTGTGAGAAAGTTACAAATTATGGATTTACATTAAAGGGCTATTCTGATTTTCTAGCTTATCGTGTGCTAATTTGGTAAGTTGTATTTTCTAAGAATTATCCTCTTTCAAGTTAAAATTTTCATAACTATTGACAGATATCCTTTTCATAATTTTAAATGCCTTTAGAGATGTGTTGATGCCCCCTTTTTCTCCTGGCACCCATCAGGTAGGTCTGTTCTCAGTCACTTGTAAAGGAATTTGTCAATTTACTAGTCTTCAGAATGATCTGATTTTTTACTTTACTTCATTAATGCCTGCCCTTATCCTTATTATGCCTTTTTCTCCACTTACTTTAGGTTTAATATACTCATTTTTCTAATTTGAGATAAATGTTTACTGCATTTACTTTTTATCCTTACTATCTACTATATATATTTCATGATACATACTTACCTTTCATCATGGCCTTAACAATATATTTAGGATATTATTTCCATTATCATTCAGATAAAAATACTTTCTGATATCCACTGGGATTTCTTCTTTGCTGCTTTATTTAGATTTATTTCTAACTGCCTATTTTGAAATAATTTCCAAGTTAAATCTGCAATGGTACAGAGACCTATACCTTTACATAGCTTGGTTTTTCAAATATTGACTCATCATAGCTCTTTAACACCTTAATAATCAGTATGCATTTCCTAAACACACAGTATTATTATTCAATCACACTATAATAAAGAAAATGGACACTGAGATAATACTCTCACCTACTATACACATCATATTCTAGTTACATCATTTGTTTCAGTCATGTTCTCTCAATCACTTTTCCCCTTCTAGTCTAGGTTGCAGTATGGGATCACTCATTGCTACATTTAGCTTTCATATGAATTTCATTTCTTCATTTTCAAGTTTTTGGAGAATTTTCTCACCTATTCTTATCTTCTAGATTTAACTGTATTGAGTTTATGCAAGACTTTATATGACTTTAACCCTCTGAAATTTAAGACTGCCTTGACATATAGTCAATTAGATTTTTTTCTTTTGCTCTTTGAAAAGATTATGTATTATTAGGTGCAGTGCTCCTAATGTTCAGTCTTTGCTAATTAGGTTATTTGAATCTTACTGAAATATCCTGATTTTTAATCTGTTTGTTTTGTCAATTACTGAAAAAAGTATGTTAAAATTTCCCATTATATGGATTTGTCTTTTTAAAGTTCTGTCATTTTTGTTATACATTTTAAGCCTAAGGGCACATATATATTTAGAACTGTTATATCTTTTATTTTATTTTTATTTTTTATTTTTTTAAAGATTTTATTTATTTATTTGACAGAAAGAGATCACAAGCAGGCAGAGAGGCAGGCACAGAGACAGGAGGAAGCAGGCTCCCTGCTGAGCAGAGAGCCCGATGCGGGACTCGATCCCAGGACTCCGAGATCATGACCTGAGCCGAAGGCAGCAGCTTAACCCACTGAGCCACCCAGGCGCCCCTAGAACTGTTATATCTTTTAAATGAAGAAAGCCTTCTATTGTATAACATGTCCCTCTTTATCTCAAACAAGGCACTGTGATATAACAGCATGCCTCTGGTTAGTGTTTATGTAGCACATCTTTTCCCATTATTCTTTCCATATACTTAGGTTTTAGTTGTTCTTCTTATAAAAAGCAAATAGCAGATTTTCTATTCTCTTTCTTACCCAGGGTGAAATCTTTTAATTTGGAACATTTTATCCATTTACACTTATTATAGTTACAAATACACTTATAGATTTACCAATTTACCAAGGCCTTATTCAAGCCCATCCATTGTCTTTTCTGGGCTGTGTTTAGATGGATTAATTATTCCACTTCCCCTCTCTGTTAACTCTGATAATCACAGACACTTTCACTATTCTTTTAGTGATTACTCTAAACATAACAAAATATAGCTCTGGACTTACCATCTAATATTAATTTGTACTTTTTTACCCTCTCGAATCTTAGAACACGAACTCCATATCCTAAACATGTCTGTTGTATAATACACACACATGACACACACCAATGAGACATACTTGTTTCATAAGTCAACATTTACTTAGATTTACTCATATGTACCTTTTTAACTGCTCTTCTTTCCACCATGCATTAACAACCATTTCTCTTTTGCCTAAGGTATATTTTAGTGAGGGTTTACTGGGGATATATTATTCTAGTTTATTTTGTCTGAAAACGTCTTTCATTAATCTTCATTTTAAAAATTTTTCACTGAGTATAAATTATTTTCTTTTGTGCTTTAAAAATATTTCTTTTGATCCTGCTGGGGATTTATGGGGCTTCCTAAATATGGGCTAGACATCTTTCTTCAGTATTACCATATTTTAAGCCATTATATTCTGTCCTTAAATGTTGCTTCCTTCCCATTCCCTCTCTCTTCTCTCCTTCTTGGGCCCCAGTTACATCCTGTATTACTTCTTCTACTTTCCATCCTTCTGTTTACCAGACTTCATTCTGGCTATTTTCTTACTTTTCTTTTAGTCCATTAATTCTCATTTCCCACTAAGCCAAATCTGTTATAGCCACTAATGAGTTAATTCCAGTTACAGTAATTTTCAGTTCTCATTCTTTTTTATAGTTTTCAGTTCTCTACTCAAATTTTCTATTTTGTCTCTTATCTTTAATATGTAAAGATGTGGCCCTAAGCGTCTTTTTATATTATTTGTTGTATCTGCTAGGTTTTGTTCATATTGTTTAATCTTCTAGAATACTTGATTACTTCTAATTATGTGTTGGACCATTTTGCAAAATTCATTACTGAATAAATTTAAGGCAGAAGATGATGTTTTCTCTCTTCAGGAAGGATTTATGCCTTGAGGCACCAGCAGTATGATTTCCATTTACTCTGTCTTTGGGTACTGAAAAAATTTGATGCTAAGGCTTCAGTCCCACTCAGGAACTATTTGTAGCTAGTTCGTCTTTACTGTAATAGTGTAGACTTTCAGGATTCCAAATCAAGGCAAGGTGAAGCCTTCAACCACCGTAACCCCTGAACTCCAATTTCTATCTTCCCAGCCCTGTGGCCTAGCAGAAGTTTTCCCCAATATGGTAAATGCCTCAATGGGGAAAAAAACTCCTATCATAACTCTGTCCCCACTCCAACTTCATCTAGTAATTCTTTACTAATAAGATCTAAAATTTTTATTAATGACTCCTATAGTTTTTCCAGGTTTTCTAGTTATCCTCACTGATATTGTTTGGTCTAAATTGCCAAGTCTGCCATTATTGGAACTCTAGGTGAATTTTTTTTTCTTTTTTTTTTTTAGTTTTTATTTAAATTCCAGTTAGTTACCATACAGTAAAATAGTATTAGTTTCAGGTGTACAATTTAGTGATTCAACACTTACATACAACACCCAGTGCTCATCACAACAAGTGCCCACCTTAATCCCCACCACCTATTTAATCCATCCCTCCACCCACTCTCCTCTGATAACCATCAGTTTGTGAAACTAGACCATTTTAAGCAATTTTATTTGTATCAATCAGAATCCTACTATTTTAAATAAATCAGTGGTTGCTAACTCAATTGCCTATGGGAGGTCAGATTTAAAAATAAGCTTCAGTAGGAATTATGATGAATTGGGAAAGGCATGCCTCATTCTACAGAACACGAAAATGAATTCCATCTGAATGCTGACATGCAAGGGGCCCACAGCCATAACAGGTTCCATTTTCTCAAAAACCCAAAGATCTAAATTTTTTTTTTCTTAATGTAAAAATCTCCTCATTTTACAAACAACAATTTGGCAACAAATTCCATTTATTTTCATATAGCGTGTAGGCCAGTGGTTCTCAACTCAGGGTGATTTTGTTCTGTAGGGCATCTGGCAACATCTGGAGACATTTTTGGTTGTTACACGGGGAGGATATTACTGGGATCTAGTGAATACAGGTCAAAGATGCAGCCAAACACCATACAATACAGCAGAAATGCCCCCACAACAACTATTAATAGTGCCCAAGTTGAAAAATCCTGGAACAAGCCAACATACGGCCGGCCAAACAAAACTCTGCTGTCACTTGGCTGGGGTGCCAGCAGTCCTCTATCCCTCATAAAGTTAATTACATATGTAAGTATATAATTAAAGATGCCAGTACCTGTGCTCTTTATGCTCTAATAACTGGCAGTCTCGGCATGTCAGTTTATCACATGTTTCACAGTAAAGCTTCAGCTGCTCCTTCTTATGAAAAGGACAAAACACTGGTCGCTGACTGGTCACTCCAACTGCCTCTGTAGAAACAATGGGATGAAAATTAATGTAATTGAATACTATATAATTATTAGATTATTCATTTAGATTTGAACCCATTAAGATATAAAAGAGGGCACCTGGGTGGCTCAGTGGGTTAAGCCTCTGCCTTCGGCCCAGGTCATGATCTCAGGGTCCTGGAATCAAGCCCCGCATCAGGCTCTGTGCTCAGCGGGGCCTGCTAATGCCTCTCTCTCTACCTGCCTCTCTGCCTACTTGTGATCCCTCTCTCTCTCTCTCTCTGTCAAATAAATAAATAAATAAAATCTTAAAAAAAAAAAAAGATACAAAAGAGCCATAAACAGTTTCTGACACCATCACTACTACTAGTCTTTATGTATATTAAAATAGCATTGTCTGGTGACAGATGGCAGCTACGCCTGTGGTGAGCACAACATATTATACAGACTTGTCACATCATTATGTTGTACACCTGAAACTTATGTAACATTGTGTCAACTATACTTCAATTAAGAAAAGAAAGAATAAAATATTAATTATTCCCAGCATTTTAGAAGGAAAAAATAAATATGCTTTTCTTTCCAGAAATCCAAATTAACTCAAGAGAAAAACAAAGTATGTAGTTAAAAATATGCTTAATGGAATTTAAGTCTTTAAGAAAATAGCCCAGGTTAGTAAGTGCGAACCAAGTGGATGTTTTCTACTCCAAATATGGGAGGAAATGGTTTTAAATGGAACTCAGAGAATCTAATAAAATGTATAAACTGTGATGAAAAAGTTATTTTCCCACTTTTGTAAAAATCCTTACAGAGGGTACCCATTAACACATAAATAATCGGTTTATACTGTGTACTATAGTCCTCCATGTAACTTCTTTTTAATTTTCTTTCTTTCTCAAGAGAGAGCACACAAGTGGTGGTGGGAAGAGAGGGAGAGAAAGAATCTCAAGCAGGCTCCATGCCCAACATGGAGGACAGGGGGCTGAGTCTCATGACACTGAGACCACAACCCAAGCCGAAATCAAGAGTCCATGCTTAACTAACTAAGACACCCAGCCACCCCAGCCATTTAACTAACTTCTTAATGGTTACCCTGAGTGACAGTAAAACTGAGGAACGCTTATGTTATAATGTTAAATTTTAAAAAATCAGAATACAAATGATTGCTTCAACAGTAAATATCAGTTATTTCACTAAATCAAAGGTAAAACCCAAACATTTCAGAAATAATTCCACATTCCAGCAATAACCACTGTTAATAACCTGGTATGTTTTCTTCTGGTTGTTTTTCTACATATATAACTACATACATTAGTAGGTACTTTGTTTTACAAATTTTAAAAAAATGCTATTACACACACTGTCTTGTAAGATCTATTCACTTAATTCTTAAATACCTTTCTTATTTTATTTCAGTTTGAGAGAGAGCATTGGTGTGAGGGTTCACATATACGAGCAGGGGGAATGGCAGAGAGAAAGAGAGAAATCTCAAGGCCACTCCACGCTGAGTGTGGAGCCAGACATGGGGCTCAATCTCATGACCCTGAGATCATGACCTGAGCCCCCAAATCAAGAGTTGGATGCTTCACTGAATGAGCCACCCAGGCGCTCCTCTTAGAAACCTTTTAGTGAGTAAATAGATCAACTTATTTAACTGCATAGTATTTCATCAAATGAATACAACCTCTGCTGTGGACATTTGAGTATTTCTCATTTTTCAATCTTGTATGATAATGCTAAAATAAACATATGAAATGTATAAGTCACTGAATGTTTACACAGATAAATTCCAAGTAGAACTGTTGGGTCAAAAAGTGATTTATACAAACATAAGTACATTATCTTCCAAAAAATTATACCAATTCATACTCTTACCAGTGTAGAGTGGCTGTTACCTACTTTACTAACAGTGTTTTGTCAGTATTTTTAATCTTCACCAATCTCGTAGGGAAAAAAAAAAATTTCACTCTCTTTGGACATATTTCTTTAATAACTGAGATAGAACAACTTTTCACATTCATTAATCATTTGTATTTCTTTTAAGAATTGTCTGTTCATGTGGCCCCTGGGTGGCTCAGCTGTTAAACATCTGCCTTCAGCTCAGGTCATGATCCCAGGGTCCTGGGATCGAGCCCTGCATCGGGCTCCCTGCTTTGCGGGGAGCCTACTTCTCCCTCTCCCACTCCCTCTGCTGTGTTCCCTCTCTCACTGTGTCTGTCTTTGTCAAATAAGTAAATAAAATCTTTAAAAAAAAAAAATGGTCTGTCCACAACTCTACAACTTTTCCATCCAATTGTCTCTCTTACCAATTTGTAGACACATTTGATATATTGCTTGCCAAAGATTTTACAAATATTTTCTCCAATCTGACTTGGTTTATGGCATTTTTCCAAGTAGATCCTTAAAACATTTTGTAGAAAAATTAATCTTTTAGTTTTAGAGAACTGCTTCTAGAAAGGCTTCTTCCTAATTATAAGTGTTAACTTTTTTTCTCTTATAGTGAAATTTTATGGTTTTTTAAAAAATATAAATTTTATATTTATCTGACATTTCATATACAGTTGACCTTGAACAACACGGGTTTTAAGTGCATGGGTACACTTATACATGGATTCTTCTTGACAAACACAGTATGGTTACTATAAATGTATTTTCTCTTCTTTATGGCTTTCTTAACATTTTCTTTTCTCTAGCTTACTTTGTAAGAACACTGTATGCAATACATACACACACCCACACACACACACGCCCACACCCACACACACTTCTTATAAAATGTGTTTTGGGGCAACTGAATAGCTCAGTTCATTAAGCATCTGACTTCAAATCAGATCACGATCTCAGTGTCCTGGGATGCAGACCTGAGTTAAGCTCCCCACTGAGCGGAGAGTCCACTGGCCTCTCTGCGTCTTCACACGTGTGCACGCATGCATGTGTATGCGTACTCACACTCCCCCTCCCAAACAAATCAGTAAAAATTTTTAAAGAAATGTATTAATTGACTGTTATCAGTAAGGTTTCTAGTCAATAGTAGGCTACTAGTAGTAGTTAAGTTTTGGGGAGTCAAAGGTTTATGTGGATTTTCAACTGCACAGGGGTCAGCACCCCTAAGTCTCATGTTGTTCAAGATCAGTTGTACTATCAATATTTACAAAACCTTACATGTGTGTCGGCACGTAGAATGAGTTCACAGACTCACATTTTCTGATAATAAAACTACAAAGTTCAAACAGGAAACAAAAATATCCAAGCAATGGGAACATTTTCTTTTTCCTTTCAATGAATTCTTGGGTTCATAATAACCACACTGTTAAGCAACTTGGCTTTCTGCATTTAATATACATCATGGCCTTCTTTCTATATCATTATATTTATAACCTACCAAAGTGGAAAAGAACAAATGCAAAAATTCATAATCTTCAACAGCATGGTAATCATAAATGCAGAATACTTAGTTTTTTGTTTTTGTTTTTTTAAATTAAGTAGGTTCCACACCCAATGTGGGGCTTGAACTCACCATCCTGAGATCAAGAGCTGCATGCTCTACCCACTGAACCAGACAGGTGCCCCCCTACACACAGAATATTTAAAAAATAGTAAATCTAAGTGGCAGATTATATCAAGCTTTAAACACAACTCTACAAAAGATAAAAATAAATATCAAGTATTTATGTCAAAGAAGTTAGTAATAGAACTTTAAAATAAAATTAGGGTAAGCTGGGAGAATTAAAAATAAAGAACTAAAAATATATAAAGGATATTCAGATAAATTTCAAAGCTGCTTCTGTGGATAAAAACAAGAGGATAACCTACTATCTAGTCCCATCAAACTCCAGGCAAAAATGCTTAAAACTCTAATGAAAGAAGGAAAATAATTAGAGAAAATTAGCAATATGGTAAAAGATTATTAAAAGCACAACACATCAAGACCAAATGCAATTAATTCTAGCAATGCAAAAATGGCTCAGTATCAGTAATGTGAATATCCTCACAGCTCCCCTGTACCCCTCTCCTTGGTGTGCATGTCATCTGGGCATCATGGTAGATAGAGTGACCATACATCTTTAGTTGGCTTAGGACATTCTGGGTTTGTGTCTACTCTTCAACAGTAACTATAGAGCTTTTGGTTTAGGGAATTAGAACATCATAAGCCCCCTTTAAGGGCTTCGTTGACTTATCAAAGAATTTAGATCCTAACTCAGTCATCTTCCTAGTCTTCAGTGTCACCATCTCTCTGGATGATTCAGAAATCCACATAGATTACCACATAAAAACAAGGCTCTCAGACTTTCTCATCTCCAGAGACCTAGACTCCATTTTAGGTCCTCACATCATGGTCCCACCCTAGACTTTTGATTGTCCGTAACTATTCCATTTCTATAATCAAAAATTCAAACATCCACTCTAGTAACTTCTACTTCTTAACCTTCCAATTCTTAACTACTCTCACTGTAACTCAAGGATCTCTAGGTTCCTAATAATTTCTTTCACTCTATCAACTGACACTGTCAACTTCATTTCCTTTATACAGTTAAAAAAAAAAAATCCTTCATTTTAGTAAATAGCATTGTTTGTACCTCTTACTCTACTGAACTTCTGCAAGGTGTATGTATGCAGCTAAACCCAAACCCTAAGTAAGTTAAATTCTTCTCTATACCCACATGCACACTGCTGAGGCCCAATGGAGAAAGTTTTCTTTTTATTTATTTTTTTAAAGTTTTTATTTATCTATTCCTGTCAAACAGAGAAAGAGGCAGAGGGAGAAGCAGTCTCCCCACGAAGCAGGAAGTCAGATGCGGGACTTGATCCCAGGGCCCTGGGAATCACAACTTGAACAAACAGCAGATGCTGAACCGACTGAGCCACCCAGGTGCTCGGGATGGAAGAAGTTTTAAGGCCTATACATCAAATGTAACCTGGATGCTACCAAACAATCTGTTTCTGACGCTGGAGCTCTCTTTTACCAGAGTTATTTCAAGTATCCCACACATTCCTGACCTTTTCATCCTATTTCCTCTGCTTTACTTTGCAACAGATGACTGAATTCACAAAAAAGAGAATTCTTTCTAGCACTATCTATTCAATTTATCTGAATCTCTACCTGGTGTCTTCTTTTTTGTCTTTTCCTCATTAGTGTCCTCAGAAATTATATCCCCTTTTCCTGTGTCACTAGACTCCTAGCCTCATTTTATTCCTCCTCCTCCTGAATCTTACTCTCTAGCTACATTCAACTGTCTCCTTCTGGAAATTTGGGCATGTATTTCAGTTTCCCCACCCTTCTCCTTCCTGTGATGAACTTCTTTTCCTCCTTCAAGCCCCAGATTTGGCCTCCAACCTAAATCCCCAACTCTGAGTTTGGTGCTTCTTTCATTTGCTCCCATAGAACTTATGAGGCCAAACTATGATTGCTAATTTGTTTGTAGCCTTCATCATACTTATAGCTTCTGTGGGGCAGAAGTATCTGTTTGATTCACTTTACATCTCTAATGCTTGGCAAAGTTCCTGGAATATTGAATAGATATACAAACACTGGTTGACCTGAATTAAAACCAATAAAGTAATTTTTAAACAAAAATATATTAAGTCATAAAAACAAATGGAAGTCTGATAAATATTACAACATGAATAAACCCTGACAATACTGTGGTAAGTGAAACAAGCCAGACACTAAAGGACAAAGCTATATGATTCCATTTGCAAAAATGAGCAAAGTCATAAAGACACATGGTAGATTAGAAGTTCACAGGGGCAGAGGAAAGAGGGGAATAAGCATTATTACTTATTAGGTACTGTTTCTTTCTGTGATAATGAAAAAGCTTTGAAAACACACAGTGGTGATGGCTGCATAGCACTGTGAATGCCATTAATGCACCTTAACGAATGGTACACTTAAAAATGGTTTAAATGGCAAGTTTTTAAGTTGCTTGCATTTTACTACAATATTTTACTACAATAAAAGAATACATTAGTAAACTTCACATTATAAGCAATACAATAAAAACAGAAACCGTATATTACATAAAAAGCAGAGCTTCTTTAGTTATCTACATATCAAATATCATGAACCAGGTTTACCACAACAATATCAGAGGGGAAAGAGTTATAAAACTTTTATTAAGCCCACCTCTTGTCACCTTATGAGTAAGAGAAGTGAAGTTTAAAAAGTATTTCTTTTTTCATTTGCTATACATTTACACCAAATTCAAGCATTTCCAGAAGAGGGGGTTGGGAGTATGAATATAAGGCAGAAAGACTCTCTATCTATTCATATTTAACAACATTTTTAAGTCTCCAAAGTTCAGTTACAATATAGATCTCCTTTACTAAAAACAAGAGTGTATTTAATGCTTACAATTGTATCAAAACAAAGTCAAGTACAGGAAGAAAAAGAAGAGTGGGATGGAAAGAGACAAAAAGAGATTAAAACCAATTTAGTACCTGGAGATACCTCCTCCTTCTGTCTCACAGTGTGGTCTTTCGTGAACTTCACTCTCTGATGAGCTCTGATGCAGGTCTTGCAGAGCCACTCAACACATTCTACACAAAACCCATTAGCTTCTGCATTGTCCTCACAGCTTGTACACACCTAGTAAGAGAAACAAGTCACATTAAGTTTTAAGAAAAAGGAAAAGGTGTTCAAACAATTAGTCATATAAAAATGATAGACAAATCATACTTGCTCTATCACAGTTATCTTAACAGTGTGTATACATTTAAACTGACATGTTTTAAATTATAAGCTTATGAAATGGAAATATGGTATTGTCCTTCACTCAATAGATCAAATACTCCAGGCACAATGCTAAGTGCTGAGGATTAACAATGTGGAAAAGCAAACGTGGTTCCTGCTCTTATGATACCATGAGTCTCACAGATGGGGAGTGTGGGTTCATATCCCCATTCCACACTTACTAGCTAGGTAGTCTTGGGCGGGTTACTTAGAATGCTCATCTTTAAAGTGCGGTTAGTAACAGATTTTGTTGAGTCGTGCTGAGATGAAATGTGAGGCACACAAACATTAGTGGAAGAATTACACCAATATGTAATTACAAACTGAGAAGTGCTATAAAGGAAAGGTATGAGAAGCTATAAAAGCACATGATAGGGGAAACTGATCTCATTTTAATGGGGCTGGAGTGTTGGAGAAAGCAGAGATTACCCAGGCAAGGCTTTCTCTAAGGAGATCATATTAATACTAAGATATGAAAGTTGAGTCATCAATTACTGATGAAAAGACTTCTAGGCAGAGAGAACACCATGTACAAAAGCCTCTGGCAAGAAGAGTACAGCATGTTCAAAGAACTGACAGAAAGTATGACTGAAGTGTAGAGATCAAGGGAAGACTGGCAAGAGAAGCAGCTAGGGACAAGGCAGGCAGAGGGCCGGATCAAGCATGATCACATGGCCATCTGGGTCCTTGTCTGAAGAAGTCTTCTAAAAGCTTTTTAGTAAGTGACATGGCCAGACTTGCAGTTTTAAAAATCACTGTCACTGTAATATAGAGAACAGATTATAAAAGGGGCAAGTACTTTCTGCAGAGACAAGAGGTTTTTTCCAGTGGTTTAGGTGGAAGTGGGAATGAATGAGGAAGACTGATGGTAAAACTGGTTCAGAGGATGCCCTGGACATGGGAGGTGAAGGAGGGACAGCTCCTCTGTTGCCAGTTTGTGTAACTGTGCAGAGGGTGGCACTCTTCTCTGAGAAAAGATATTAAAGTTACATGTAAGCAGTCCTCATGTTATCTTCGGTAGCTGGCGGAAAAAAAAAATCCCCCTCAGTTAGCACTTTATGGTAGCCAAATTCCAAATACCTAGATAACATTTTCATTAATTCAAACACTGCCTTTTCTCAGCTCTTATCAGTGAACGTTTCTAACATTATTGACTCCTACTTCTACTCCAGATTCCTTGATACCTCCAGATCCTCTTATCTCCCTGATTGCCCTCTGGAACCCACCCCCCACCTTCCTCCTCCAATTCTGTACATTTTTGTTAGATCTGGGGATTGTCTCGTCCATATTCCCTAGCTTCAACTATCTTGTCTTTAAGGATATCACCTAAAATTTAATCTCCACACTATGCTACAAGAAAGAATAAAGTATCTATAGTATATGAGGTAAAATGAAAAAGGAAAAGTGGACAAGCATATCATGCTACTGCTCTTCTAAAAAAGATGGAGATGGGTGAAATAACATTTGCTAATATTTCTTAAATAATATCAAATTACTTAAAATTATACATAAAATATTTTAAATGAAAGAATAAAGGAAAATAAATGGTTACCTATAGGGTAGAGAAGAAATAAGGTATATGGGTAGATTAAACAGTGATAGAAGTTCGGGTTCTCTCAACACACTGTGTTTTATGGATTTTACTTTAGAACTATAGGAATGTTTTATATGTAGTCCTACAAATTTAAATTTGAAAAGTTAAATCCCTAAAAACCAAAAGCAAATGAAACAAATGAATCTGCCTATCAAGTGGGTGGCTTAACTTCAAAGAATTATTTATTTCAAGTAACTTCGAAATATTACAGTGCATGTTAACTAACTGGAATTTAAATAAAAACTTGGAAAAAATTACGATTTGATTGACTATCTCCAGTGCATACATGCAGTGATTGCTGTCTTCCTTGCTTTCTATTTTGACAGAAACAGCACTATAATTTCTACTTTCAGTCCCAACTCTATTCTTCCTTACTCTTACTCTGCAAACCGTATTTATGCTTTATGATCTGGTTCAACATTAGATTCTAACAACAGATGGTGCTGGAGGGAGACTGCAATGCCAGAGGGAAGAAGGTACTTCATCTTAGTCGTCTTGCTATCTGCTTGCATTTTCTGTGAACATCATGCCAGTCAATGCTCCTTCACCCTGGGAGCAGCACTTAGCTCTACTTTACAGGTTTTCCAATCCTCATGGAATCAGCTTTGGAGATAAGGACACCACAGGCCTACTCCTGCTCCTCTGAGGTCCTGCTCCTCTGAGGACAAACAGCACTGCCTCTCTTCAGATGTTTGAGCTGATGTTCCACAAGACCCTTCCTCTAACTTTGCCTAATTTCAACCTTTTCTCTTTGTTCTCTGAGCTGCGTCTTTTTAGTTGCCATATGATACTTTAAGTATTTTTTTACTTATCCTTTCAGTGAACAAGTTTATATCTAATTAATTCTTAAGAATTAAGAGGGCTCCTGATTATACCAAAACTGATGATATACCCTATAACGTAATTATATATATTTGGAGGAAATAAATAATTATGTCAATGTAATTGAGAACTAAGATTTCCAATGTCAGACAAGTGAGATAAACATTAAATTAAAAAAGTAAGATCTACAAATCTAAATTGGACTTATAAATATCAATATATACTTGTGGTGTATTTGCTTTTTCCTTCCTAGACAGTTGCTGCTTGTATATTATCAACAATTAGGCACCCATTACCTCATACAGAAGCATATTTTAACTTTGAAGAGTGCACTATTGAGCCAAATGAAATCTAGTTCTCTTCTTAAGGTCTTCTAGCTACTGGAATCTTAGAAATAGATGTTATATCCTCCCTCAGTAACTTCTCATGAGCATCCAGTCAGGCTTTCAGTTTGCTTAGGGGTGGGAACACATCCATATTTAGTAATCACAGATTTGATCCCCTCTGCTGAATTTGAATTTTCAGCAGACCCACAACTCTCCTGATAACTGAGCGGGTTATCAGTCTTCTTCGGTGCTGTTCAAATGACAGTCAGGGCAGGGAAGGGAAGGGAAAAGGGGAGCCTTCTGTGATCCTCAGCAGGGTCAAGATAGAGCCTCGAAGACTTGCTGCACTGGAGATGATCCTGGTCATCTTATGGGATGGCCCAGAAGGCATGGCTACAACCCTAATTTCTCACATACTCTGTAGCATACCAGGTCAAATTATTATCTGTTTGATGGAAATATAACAGGAACAAAACATGACAGTTAGACATTTGGTATCATATAGAACAAATATCTATACACTGAATTTTTACGCTATCATCTGGTGGTTCTGGCACTAGGGGATGCAGTTTCAGGGTTTTTTGGTGTAGAGAATAGCCATTTGCTGCCTGAGCTTTTGGGATCATTTCTCACATTTTTTGCTCCAGAAATTTGTTCACTTGGTAAACACATTTTGACCATTAATACTAAACTAGGTTGCTTTTCTGTTAAAAATCTGCACCCATTACTTTTCTAAAATCCTAGCCTTCTTAAAAACACTAGTTTCCTTACTAAGGTTAATAAATAGTTTTCTATCACCTTGTATTCTGTTTATCCCTTTCCCTGACACTTAATAAAGATTCCAGAGATTCTATTATAATAATAATTCCACGTGTTTGAGGTTGATGAGCTTCTTCTTCTTCTTCTTCTTCTTTTTTTTTTAAAAGATTTTACTTATTTGACACAAAGAGAGAGAAAGAGAGAGCGTGTGCAAGCAGAGGGAGTGGCAGGCAGAGGGAGAGGGAAATGCAGGGTCCCCGCAGAATAGGGGTAGCCCAATATAGGACTCGATCCCAGGACTCTGGGATCATGACCTGAGCTGAAGGCAGTTGCTTAACCAAGTGAGCCACCCAGATACCTGGCTGATGAGCTTCTTAATAAAAAGATGCCTTAGAGAGGAATCTTGCCTGAGCCCCAAGAGATACTATGTGGCCTAAATTCAAGATCAAGACAGATGGACTTATTCTTTTTTATTCGAGTGTAATTAACATAGTGTTATATTAGTTTCAGGTGTATAATTTTAGGATTTGAAAATTCTATATATCACGCAGTGTTCAACACAGTAAGTATAGTCACTCTCTTTTATCAATAAAAAGTGTTTGCTAAATCATTCTCCTGCAAGGCCTAGAAAAATGACCAGCCCAATGGTGATGAGTATCCCCACACGTATACTGCAGTCTCCAGATATCATATCCGACCAAAAGGAACCAAAGCATCTAACAATACATCAAAACAGAAAGCAGGGGAACAGCAGTGATGATTGTGATTGTATCAGAATGACTCGGGAATCAATGTGAGGCTCCTGTTGCCAAGATGGCACAAGTGGAGCATCAATAACAACAATTACTGTAACACATTTTATGTTAAAAATCCATGAATTTGGGGTGCCTGGGTGGCTCAGTGGGTTAAGCCTCTGCCTTTAGCTCAGGTTATGATCTCAGGGCTTGAGCCCCGCATCAGGCTCTCTGCTCGGCAGGGAGCCTGCTTCCTCCTCTCTCTCTGCCTGCCTCTCTGCCAAAAAAAAAAAAAATCCATGAATTCATGACACACACACCACTCATTAGTCAACCTCTGAAGAATGCTAAGAAACTAAGTTACTACTCTAAAAATTAGCAACTAAAGGAAAAGAATCAAGTGTTTAACCTACTTTTCCTTTATAACAAAGAATAATGAAGGAAGCCTTCTGTTTCTCTTCCAGTTAAGAAATATAGGGGCATGACAGAATGAGACTGTCATAATTTTCCAAGGCTGTAATGTAATATGGGAGCATGGCAATGGTCATTAATGGCCACTGACATCAGGAAAAAGAAAGACAACCAAACTCCTATGCCTCCACACAGACATATGGATCAAAGTATTCTCTCACGCAATGGAACCTGAAACTAAACCAGCCTCTACATTTTTACTGCCAATGTACACAAAATACAGGAGACAGAGAAGTATGTTAAATGACTTTACGAAGATGGCCTGCAAAAGGCAGAATAAGGCTAACTGTATAGGATTAACACCCAGTTTATCTATCATTTATGTTGAAAAGGGAGGAAAAAGAAAGCCAGTGAAGTAAAGGGATAATTTGAGATTAATTAAAAGACAGGGTTGAGACAAATCAACCAAATGCACTGTGTAGGCCTTACTGGATCCTTACAAAAACAAACCACTGTTTTAAAAAAAGAAACCATAATTAGAGCATTATCACTGGATGTTTGATGATATTAAGGAATTACTGTGAATTTCTTTTACATATGAAAATACGGTGGTTATGTTTATTAAAAAATATTTTCCTAGAGAAGTACTGAAAGATTTATGGATTAGATGATATAATGCCTGGGAATAACTTCAACTTAATATAGTGTGTGTCTGTCGGGGGGAAGGGACTGTCAGGTTAAACATAAAACGAGTTTACGACTATTAAGCGAGGTAACGTATATGGGAGTCCATTATGTGAAACCATCCCTTCTCTTGTAATGCTTAAACTTATCTGTAATGAGAAGTTTTTAAAACTTTATCTTCAGCTATAAACTATCCTGAGTTCCAGTTTGAATATAGGTGACATTACTTTAATCTTATAGGTAAACTCAATCATATTCAAAACCAATTCTCTATCTACTTTGCTACCTCCTTTCTCTCTGTGAAAAGCACCAACATCCTGTTAGTGAGGTCCCTCTCACCTCCACACCCAAGCACGTATACCAAACCCTCCCCTCTCCTTATTGCTACCAGGCTAGTTCAACTAACTCTCAGTACGTCTCTCTCTCTCTCTCTCTCTCTCTCTCTTTTTTTTTTTTTTTTTTAAAGATTTTATCTATTTATTTGACAGAGGGAGAGAGAGTTAGGCAAAGAGTAGGCAGGCAGAGAGAGAGAGGGAAACAGGCTCTCTGCCGAACAGAGAGCCGGGGCTCGATCCTAAGACCTTGAGATCATGACCCGAGAAGAAGGCAGAGGCTTAACCCACTGAGCTACCCAGGCGCCCCTCTCATTACCTCTTGCCTAGTGCTTCCTTCATCCCCCATTATCACCTCTCTTGTCTTCATTCCCAAATATACCTCCAAGTACCCTATTCCTGAACCATGTTTAACAACCTTACTATCCTCACTTACCTAAAATGAAGATGTCAATTTGGACTATCTGTAGTTTAATTTATAACTTCTTCCTATTATGTTTTGTGGAAAAAACTGAGTAAACTTACCAAAACTCATTATGCAGAGGCATAAAGCAGCCTCTTAAATTTGTCCTTTAGCTTAGAATCCCTTCAATACTCATCTCTTATCACCATCAATTCATATAGGATCTTAACTCCATCCTGTTAATGATTTATGTTGCTTTGCTTTTGAATTTTCTGGATTGAGCATTCAGATGCACTGCTAGAGTTCATCTGATGAAGCATAATGAGTGAGTGATATGACTAACAAAGTATATCTAGTATAAATATAATCACATATGAAGCAAAGTGACCTGACACTCTAGAAGACAAAAAAAATCACTGGTATTCACAGGGGAACTTTCAGAGGTATTAAGTACTTGACACTGTAGCTCACATAAATAATTACATTTTCATGCTTTAAAACCAGTTTCACAACTAGAAAGTTTATTCCCTGCACCAAGCCCTGTTTTGACCTCTGATGAACTATGGATATTTTTGAAACAAAAGCAGTATTTAAAAAAAAATTTTTTTTTTTTTTGAGGGAGAGAGCAAGCAAACCCATGTGTGCATAATGGAAGGGGGTAAGGGCAGATGGAGAGGGAAAGAGAGAGAATCCCAAGCAGCCTCCCTGCCCAGACTGGGCTCAATCACAAAACCCTGAGATCATGACCCGAGTCATAAGAAAGAGATGGCTGCCTAACCAGCTGAGCTACCCAGGTGCCCCCCAAAAGGGATATTTTAGTTAGTAATGGCTATATTCATTTTAAGTGAACCCTAAATTCCCTCAGTTCCCTCATGAAACAAAAAGTTGAAAATGAAAAGTACAGAAACTTAGCTATGTGATTCCTGAAGTGTCCTAAACATTACCTTTTTGATTTTTACATGTTAGGTTAATAAACATTTTTTTCCATTGTCAGATTCTGTTCCTTCACAGATACTATGTTCCAACTTTAAGGAAATGCCTAGAAAAATCATCAATGAATCATGATTCAAAAGTACACTAATACACTACACTTCAGTGTACACTACAGAATTAAATCATAGCTCACCTCCACCAGAGTACTATAATTCACCCACCAGTGACTGGACATTTAGATTTAAAGGGGCAATAGAAATGTTCTACATGTGGGTTATGGAAATGCCAGGGCGGGGTGGGCACCATTGAGCCTCTAAATCCAACACCCTGGACAATATTACCAAATGAGCCTTTCAAAGAAATACCACGCAGAAAAGAAGACATTCTTAAAATGTAGAAACCATACTGATCACAGACATGGAATTTTTCATATGTATCATTATAGAGTTCATCATTAAAACAGAAAAAATGAAAAAGGTGGGGCTTGAAATAAAAAAAATCTAACTGTCAATACACAGTAAAGTTACAAAAAAAAAAGAGATACTGTCAAATATAGAATAATAGTTTTCTCTCTGAAGGGATAGGGAAGGTGGGGGTACAAACAAGGCTTCTGAATTGGCACTGTTTTATTCATTAAGATGAATTATTCATTACTCTATTCCCTTTTAAAATATTACATAATTTCATAGACATAATGGTCAATGTCAGACACCTTTTATTTTAGAGTCCTTCAACAATCCAGGCCACCTCATTAAGAGGAAGCAAAATGTTTAAGACTTAATTAGTACACTTACCTGATTAGACTTTTCTACTGTACTGCTGGGAACCTCAGTAGTGTCCTTCACAAAAAAATTATCTATGATGTGTCTCTCTGCACATTCTTGGCTGCAAACTGGACATCGAATGACTCCAACTGGGGAAAACAAAATTGCATTCTAAGTTTTTTTGGTTTGCATAGCATAATGATTTGATTGAATGTATATAACTGCAACATGACCACCACACTAAGTTTCGTTAACATCTGTCACCATGCACAGTTACAAAAGTTTTCTTCTTGTGGTAAGAATTTTCAAGATCCACTCTTCTAGTTACTTTCAAATATGCAATACAGCATAAAGTACAGTCACCAGGCTGTGCATTACAACCCAATGATTTACTCATTTTATAACTGGAAATCTGTACCTTTTGACCCTCTTCATTCTTTCACCCACCCATGACCCTTTACACCTCAGGCAACCACCAATTTGTTCTCTATATCCATGAGCTCTCATCCCAAGTTTTAATACAAATACGCTAAACACCAAACAAGCACATCTCATTCAAACTGTAACTGGGTTTTTTTTTACAATGCCCACTTTCTTCAAAGTCCTATCTATTATTACTTAACACAAAGCAATCCAGTTTATATATATACGTGGATTATATGTATGCATGTATGTACACATACAGATATATCCCACACCTAGTTTATTTAATAATGAATAAAAGTTCATTATTTTAAATGAGATGCCCCTCTAATAACCCCATGGGCTGCTCTTTTATCGGTTAGCAACTCCCCTTGGCAGTGGTTTTCAAAATCTTGTGTGGAGTTTTTAAAAAGGGACTTCCAGTTTTCTTTGGACCTACAGAATTAGGATTTCTGAAAGGGGAGTACAAACCTACTTGTTTTGCCTAAAATCTCCATGTGAGATTAAGAAACACTATTGTGTTTCCTTTAACAAGGCAAATATGTGTCTTGGGGTGGGGAGAATAATCTTTCATAGTGCTTGGTAAAACAGTAAGTAAAAACTAATTAATGAATTAAAATCTAAATTGATTAAAATTTTAAAAATCTAATATTCACTTGATGCTGTAATTTCTACCAAGGAGACTGTGATAAAGTTCCCAGGTACATTTTTTTGTAAAATGAAATGCATAAGAATGAATATAAAGTAATCCAAAGGTCAATTTCATTTGTATATACAAGCAAAAAACAAATTTTTTAAAGAACCCATTTTACAACAATAACAAAAATATACCAAGTACTCGGAAATAATTGTTTTAAATATATAAGGTCACTGTGGAGAAAAATGTTAAGTTGTATTTAGAAATATTAAAATATATCTAAGTAAAGAAAAACCATGTTCACGATGGTAAAAGATACCAATTCTCCCCAAATGCATCTATAGATTCAATGCAATTTTAATTATCCTAACAGGAATTTCAACAAGCTGGGGGATATGCCTACCAAGTGAAGGACTTATTCTAAAGCTATGGTAATTAAAATGGTGTAAAATTTATGTAAGGATAAAAAAAAGTACAACAGAATACACATACACAATACCAGAAATAGGCTCATATTTAAGTACATTTTATACAGGATAGATGTGGCACTAGGGATCAATGCGAAAAGGGATGAACTTTTCAGGGTGCTATAGTTCTCCAAAGTGGGAGGGGATGAATTAGATCGTTACCCAATTAAAAACAATAGTTCTTTCAAAAGATTAAGAACATTGTAACTTTCCAAAGAAATATAAGAGAACATCTGTGTAACCTTAGAGTGGGAATAAATTTCTAAAGAAACAAAAACCAAGAGATTAAGGGCAAGGTTAATGAATTTGATTTCATTTACGATCAGAACTACAGCTAGTCAAAAGATTACCATGAAGAAAGTGACAAGACAATGACCAACCTGGGAAAGATATACCTAATATGTGCTACTAACAATGAATTAATAACAACAATCTGCAAAGTATGTGACAAAGCATTTCACGAAAGAGTAAGATTGAATAAACATATTTTTCCTTATTCCTCTAGAATAATAGAGCTAAAACCTCTAGGTGTTCTATACAAAACAATCATAAGAAGACTGAAAGAGAGAGGGAAGACAGCAGACTAGCTAGAGTCCTCAGGACCTGAGGGGCGACACAGTAATGAGTTCACTGGATTTTCTTTTAGCCTCATATATTCCAAAGTAGGCAGTCATGAAATCACCATCCTATGTACATCAACAGGTATAAACAAACAAAAAAATCCCACAGAAACCTGCTCTCTTTATCCAAAGGACCAGGAAATGGGCAGCTCACCAAGACAAAACTTGTAGACAATAATTGCTCTACTCCAGCCAAACACAACAGATAAAATTGTGCTCTTTTTCCCACCAGCAAAGGTCTAGTGGGAAGCCTAGACTTCCACCCTGGCCAAGTAGAAACCAAGTACCCCCAACCACACACTGCTGTGTCTGTCAGAGAAGACTGGTAGGGAGCTGTGGCTTTCATCCTTACTGGGCGCTAATTTGGCCCCCTGCAGTATTAGTGGAGATCATGGGAAAAGCCTGAATTTTGCCCCTCCAGGACAGTAATGCGGTACTCCTCTACCTCTGTGCTGGGTTGGCGTTAGAAAAAGACTAGTGGATACTCAGAACTTTTACTACTGCCTACCAGTAACCTCTGTCCCCACTCCTTACATAGGTCAATGAAGAACAATGGGAAGTGTTGAACAGACACCCATGCCCACCCCCCCATTACCAAGAGAGGTATCAAAATGTAACAAGAGACTTCAACCCCATCCACCAGTAGTAAGGAGGAGGCCCTCCTCTTCCAGATGTTAAGGGAGGCAGCATAAGAAACATGGACTATTCAATTTCAATCTTACAAAAGACAGAAAATAATAAATATAAGAGCAGAGACTAATGGAATTGATAACTAAAGTCAATCAAACAAAAAGCCGGTTATTTGAAAAGGCCAATAAAGTTAACACACCTTTAGCAAGACTAAAGATGGCAAAGGAGAAGACACAATTTACCAAAGAATAAAAAAAGGGAATAGCACTACAGATGATGCAGGTATCAAAAGGATAATAGAGGAATACTAACACTAGTCACAGAAATTTAACAATGTAAGTAAAACAAATTACTCAAAAATACAAACTACCATGACTTACCCAGGATGAGAGAATTTGAAAAGCCATTTGGAAATTGGCTCTGAACAAACTGAAACACTTCGGTGTAAACCTGGCAAAACATGTATTGAACTTATATGCCGAAAACTATAAAATGCTGATGAGAACAAACAAAAATCATCTAAATAAATGGAGAGACACACAGCATTCATGGATAGGGGTAATTAGTGTAGTAAAGATGCCAATTCTCCTTAATGTGAGCTGTGGTTTTTACACAATTCCTAATATCCCAGCAACATTTTTTTGTAGATATAGACAAGATTTTTAAATTTATATAGAAAAGCAAATGTATAATAGTAGCTAAGTCAATACTGAAAACAAGAAAGAGGAACTATTCTATCTAATTTCAAGATATTACATAGCTCCTATAATCAAGAATGTCTGTTACTGATCAAGAGATAGACAAAGATGAATAAATCAGGACAACTGAAATAGATCCAAACAAGTAGGGCCAATTCATTTTTGACAGATGTGTAAAAGCATCTTAGCACTCAAAGTACAAAATGCTGATGAGAGATATACTGTGTTCATGGATTGGAAGATTCACTGCAGTAAAGATGTCAATACTCTCCAAACTGACCTACAGACCAGTATATTCCTATCAAAATCCTAAGCAAGTAAGTATACACTTTTTAAGTATAGACAATGTTATTCCAATATTTATGTGGAAAAGGAAAGGAACTAGAAGAGCACAGATCTGAGAAATGATTCACCATATATAAAGAACCCTCAAACCTCAACAATGAAAACAACAAACATCCATTAAAAAAATGGGCAAAACACATGAAGATTATCATTCTGAGTAAAAAAGCTAATTTCAAAAGGCCACTTATGAATGATTCCATTTACATAACATTCTCAAAATAAGATTGTAGAGATGGAAAATAATTAGTGCTTTGCCTGAATTTAGGGATGGAGTATGGGGAAAGGAAAGGGTAGATATGACTACAAAGAGAGCTTTGGTGATGATGGAATAAAACAAGAACGCTAGTATCTTGATTGTGATGATGGATATATGAATCTACACATGTGATAAAATGGCAAAGAACTATAGGCACTATTTTATCAGTGCTAATTTTCTTGTTTTGATTTGTACTAGATACAGAAGATGTAATCATTGGGAAAAACTGGGTACCTTAGATCTCTCTGTAAATTCCCATCAATCTATTTTTATTTATTTCAAAATATAAAGTAAAAAAAACAGAACAAAAACACCCTAAAATGAACTAACATTTCTTCAGTGTTCTCCTTATATGCACTGCATTATCCTCATAAAGATGAGGAAACAGATCAGAAACTCCAGGTAATCTGATCAAGGTCACACAGTATTGGAATTATGATTTGAACCCTTGGCTGACTGACCCAAGTGCAGGCTCTGTACTGCTACACTTTACAAATATGTTTAGAAAACCACGGGTTAAAAGATCATGTCATTTTGATAGATAGGATATTAGTCCATGAATTAATCCCTGGCATAGTGCTCAGTAAGTATTTGGTAAGTGATAAACTCCTTTAATAATACACATACCATATGATTCACAATTCCAACACTGAGAAACTCTTATACTTCAGCATGAGAAGGTATGTTCAAGAATGTTCATCACAGGGGGGCGCCTGGGTGGCTCAGTGGGTTAAGCCGCTGCCTTCGGCTCAGGTCATGATCTCAGGGTCCTGGGATCGAGTCCCGCATTGGGCTCTCTGCTTGGCAGGGAGCCTGCTTCCCTCCCTCTCTCTGCCTGCCTCTCTGTCTACTTGTGATCTCTCTCTGTCGAATGAATAAATAAAATCTTAAAAAAAAAAAAAAAAAAAGAAGAATGTTCATCACAGCATTTCTTATAAAAGCTCACAACTGGAAACAATCCAAATGTCCATCAACAGTAGAAACAAAATACTGTGATATATTTGAATAATAAAATACTTTACAGCAATGAAATCAATTCACTTAACCTACAGATATCGATATGACTGAGTCCC